ATGCACATGTTTCTCTGCTTGGTGGTGTCCAGCAGATCCCTTAGGCTCTGTTCATATCAACCTTTTTTCTTTCTATTTGTCTAATTTCTAATGTGTTACTTGGTTATTTTCATTTGATTGTTTTTATTTCAGAATTCCTGTTTTTAATATTTTCTACTTAACCTCATTGCTGCCATATTTTTATTTTATGTATTTGTGTGTTTATGTGTATCACATCTATATTTTTTGTATATACGTGTGTATAATACGCACATGTATACATATACACATACCAGTAATTTTATGTTTTGTTTCAAACGTTTTTTGAAAGTTTGATACCACCACCCTGGCCAGCGTGGCTCAGTTGGTTGGAGTATACACCAAAAGGTCATGGGTTCAATTTCTGGTCAGGGCACATACCCAGGTTGTGGGTTCAATCCCAGGTTGCGGCATTTATGGGAGGCAACCAGTCAGTGTTTCTCTCTCACGTGGATGTTTCTCTCTGTCTCTCCCTCTCCTTTCCTCTCTCTCTAAAATAAATAAAAGCAGCATGTCCTCGGGTGAGGGTTTTAAAAAAAAAGTTTGATAGCACCAATTATTGGTGAAGTTATAGGGGCGATAATCTTATATATCTCTAATAAAAGTATAAATTTTGATGCACTTTTAAGAGAAATACCTGATGAGGTTGGAAATATATCCTACAATCAATAAGTCCATAACTAATTGGTCTGTTCTAAAGAAACTTCAATACATGTACATAAAGAGGCATGTACAAAGATGTTATGGTAATTTATAGTAGTAAAAAGCAGAATATCTAACTGTTTCTGAGTATAAGAGTAGATAAACTATAGTTTGTTGTTACAATGGAGTAGTGTACTATTAAAAATAAATGAACTAGATTCGCATATGGATACATGGAAAATATCTATGGATAAATATCTAAAACAATATTGAATTAAAAAAATAAGTTGTTGAAACTTGCAGAAATATTGATATCATCTCTGTAAATTTTCAAGACAGAAAACTACATTACATGTTGTTCATGAATCTACAAATGTAGTAAAAGCACAAAAAGCATGTATAAGAATGAAACACACCACAGAATGATACAGGTCAATTTCAGTGTAGTATTAGTGAAGGAATAAAGGGGTAGACATGGGCATGTGGTTTCATTTCTTTTCTAAAAGGAGGGAAACTAAAGGAAATTTAGCAAAATGCAAAAATCTATGTAATTTTAGTAGTAATTTAACATGTGAGTATTATATTTCTTTTTATATACTTAAATGTTTTAAAATTTTTAAAAGTTGACATAAAAATTAAATCTTTTTGTGTTTAGCTTGAATCTCAACTAGAGAAAAAAGAACAACAATTTAAGGAGCAAGAAAAGACTATGTCCATGTTGCAACAAGACATAATATGCAAACAACATCATCTTGAATCACTAGACAGACTCTTGACAGAAAGCAAAAGGGTAAAACCATCTTTATAAAAATGCTATTTAAAAGTTGACTAATATTTTGCCCTAGCCGGTTTGACTCAGTGGCTAGAGCACCAGCCTGCGAACTGAAGGGTCTGGGATTCAGTTCTGGCCAAGGGCATGTACCTCGGTTGCAGGCTCAATCCCCGGCCCTGATTGCGTTGCGTGCGGGAGGCAACCAATTGATGTGTCTCTCACATCAATGTTTCTCTCCCCCTCTCTCCACTCCCCCCTTTTTACTCTCTCTGAAAAAGCAATGAAAAAGATATCCTCAGGTGAGGATTGAAAAAGTAAATAAAAAATAAATAAAACTGACTAATATTTTAAATTTATGTTTCTGTAACATACCTTTAACTTTATCAATTGTTAAACAGAATGTTAGTAACACCAAACTATTTATATGCATACTTTTATTTTTGCTTACCAATCTGTATGTTTTCAGGAAATGGAAAAGGAAAATATGAAGAAAGATGAAGCTTTGAAAGCATTACAGAACCAAGTATCTGAAGAAACAATCAAGGTTAGGATGCTTATACTTTAAAAAAAATTTTTTTAATTTTTTCTTAATGGAGACATTCCTGTAGCTTTTTCACTTGTCTCTATAAATTGTAAAAATTGTTTGTATAAAAACCAATTAAGAGGTAAAGACTTTTACCTGGGTCAGTGAGCTTAGTTTGTGTAAGTATATTTTCTTCAATGTGAGTTATGATCTTAATTATTTGATAGTTGATAATTTAGTTTGTATATTACCTAACTTTCATTTCTTTTTTAATGTTAAAATCTTGTTTAACATTAGCTACTTACTAACTTTACTAGTAAAGAATTAACAGAGAAAGTGAAGGGAAATGAGACTACAAGCAGTCCAATTTTGTTTCTTTCTACCTGTTCTAAGATTAATTAGGGGATAAGTTTAGAATTTCCAGATAAAATAGTTTTGTGGCTAATATATCTTTGTGTTTAAAAGCATGGGCTTTGGACCTAAATTGACTTAGGTTTCAATTCTGGTTTCAGGGTGTTTACTGACTGACTGTAACCATAATTAGGCTATTTGTGCTCTCTGAACTTTAGTTTCTTTATCTGTAAAATAAGGATAACAATACTTAGTGTGAGATTTAAATTGAGCTACATAAAATGCTTAGCATATGCTAAGTTACTCAAATTTTAATAAGTAATTACTATGTATTCAATATTTTCTCATTTGCATTTTTAGTGTTAAAAAGAGGTCTAAACAGCCCTGGCTGGTGTGGCTTAGTTGGTTGAGTGTTGTCCCATGCACCAGAAGGTCATCAGTTCAATTCCCGCCAGGGCACATTCTGGGGATGTGGGCTCAATCTCCAGTAGGGTATGTGCTAGAGGCAGCCAGTCGATGTTTTTCTTACACATCAATGTTCTCTCCCTCGCTCTCCCTTTCTCCCTGTCTAAAATCAATGGAAACATTAAAAATAATAAGTCCAAACTTCATTCTATCATACATGGCTTGAATATAAAGGATTTTTAAAAATTGATGTTTAGTATTTTTTCCTAGTACTCTGTTTTTAATCCACTTTGTGACCTTGTATACCCATGTAAACACAATTATATGTTTATCCTTAACTTTCCTATAGTATTTTCAAAAACTTTTAGCGTTTCATGCCATGTCAATTTATTTCCTCATGTAAAGTTAACCTCTAAGATCACAAACATTAAAAATCGCTACAAAGGTTGTAGGCAGGAAATGATTTTATTAAAATTTATATTGCCACTTAACTCCTGTTTTTCTTTAACTGCCTAACACTCTATCCCGTAATCTGGTAGTCAATCATCTGGCAAGTTATTTCTACATGTTAATAACCAGATAAGAGGCAAGAAGGAAACTGGCAAAAGAATGAATTATGATGTAGGGTTTTATTCCCTTAGTACCTTTGATAGTTTTGCTGGGGGAAAAGTCAAAATTAGAAATAAAATTCTTATGACTGAAGCTATAATAAATGATTCTTAACATATAGAATATTTTTAGCAACAAAATAGAAGTTTGAAATTTAGTTCTCTTTTCTTATGACTTTAACACCATTCTTTCCTGACTTTTGGCCATGCCCTTCTGCATGCTTCAGTTTGTCCTTTGCATAAAAATATTATGAATTTCCTATCTGCAGGAGAGTTATAAGGATCAGTTTAAAGTTATAGCACCTATGAAAATGACATAACTGTAGCTTAATGAGAGCTAGAAGATTAGTGGGAGAATTCTAAACGGGTAACATGAAAACCAGTAGATTAAAGTAATTGTTGCCTACTTTTAAATAGAAAATTGAGAAAGTGCTTATTAGCTTTAGAGATTTTATTTATTTTGTTTTGTTTTGTTATTTTCTACTCTAGATTCAAAGAAAATCGTAAGTGGGGAAAAACAAGCAATAGAGAAGAGCTTAGGTGCTTTTGTTGAACAAAGAGTAGCCTAGAACTCCCACCTCGTTGCCCCCAGACTGTGCCCCTGAGTAGGTTTTTGGTTCATCAGAGCAGTGTACATATACTATATATATGTATATTTCTAAGTGTTTTGTATACAGTAATGATGTTTATTTATATGCAATTCAGGCTCTCAAACGCTGTCCAAATCGAACATAGTAGTAGATGTTTGGTTTTTATTAATTATTTGTTTTAATTGGTTTATTAATTTTTAATTAAATTTTATTCTACAAAAATATTGAAAGAATAGTACAGAGAACATCTTTGTAGATTCACTGTTAAACTCTAGCTTTACTCACTTCATTTCTCTCTGCACACACCTGCACATGCATACTTGTGCTGGCTCCCACCCAAAGCCCCCTTTTTGCCAGATTACTTGAATATTGCAGATGTCATAACACTTTACACCTTTAATACTTAAACTTGCATCTCCTATGAACAGAAACTTTCTCCTACATGACCACACCACCTCTGCATACCAGAAAAAGTAAACAATAATTCACTAACATCAATGCATAGTCCATACTGAAATTTTCCCAGTTATTTAAAAATGTTTTTATAGCCTTGTTGCTCAAAATATGGTCTATTGACTAGCAGCATTAGCATCACCTGGAAACTTGTTGACTTGCAGAATATCTGCTGTGCCCCAGACCTATTGAACAAAAGTGGGACCAAGGTGAAGCCAGCGAGGGACCTCTAGAACAAAATTTAAGGAGATGCTTCCTCTGAGGGTCATACAAGCAGAAGGGTCAGAACTGTCATGGCCCTGTGTGCCTCCGTAAATTTTGAGCCATTGGCACCTTCCTTGCATCACCCTAGTCCTGACCTTTTTACTGAATCAGAATCTTTATTTCAGTGGGGTGTCGAGGGGATTTGTATGCCCAGTAAAACTTTGATTTATACTACTTTAGCTTTGTTCCTTTTCTTTTCCCAGTCTAGGATTTAATTATAATTCATGTGTTGCATGGATTCTTTATATTCTCCTAAACTCACTGTCTCCTATTCTTCATAATGTTGAATCTTTTGAAAAGTCTAAGTCAATTAGAACACCGCATGGGTTATCCTGTGTTCCTCCCTGTGCTTCACATCAGGAGGCGCATGTCATATGACCCCATTATTGCCATAGCCAATCTTGACACCTTATTTAAGGTGGTTACTGCCAGATCTCACCATTTTAAGGGCATATTTTTTCCTTTATAATTAATAAACAAAATGTGGGGTGATTCTTGGAGACCATGTGAATGCTTTGCTTCTCAACAGCCTCATAACCATTGGTTTTAACATTGAGTGATCTTGTCTGAATGGTTTTTTACATTGTTTTTTAAATTTTTTATTTATTTTTATTGAATTTTTTAGAGGGAGAGAGAGGTCTATTTGTTGTTCCACTTATTTATGCATTCATTGGTTGATTCTTTTTTTTTTTTACATTGTTAATTATCAGGTATTGATATTCTGACAGCCATAGATATACATTTCTCTGTATGTGGAAGATGATACAAGTACCAATGCTCTTATGCTTAAGAAAGAAAATTTGCAAGTATTTATATCTTTCATAAAACAAATGTTAATTAAAAATTATTGCTAGGGTGCCCTGGCTTGTGTTGCTCAGTGGTTAGAACACGTTGGCCCACACATGGAAGGGTCAAGGGTTTGATTCTAGTGCATGCGGAAGGCAACCAATTGATGTCTCTCTCTTCCTTCCTCCCTCCCTCCTTCCCTTCCTCCCACTCTCTCTAAAAAATATCTTTAGGTAATGATTAACAACAACAACAAAATTATTACTAGGGCAACAGCTTATTAACAAAGATAATCATTCAAAATTACAAACGTTTTAGCTGTTAATGGTTCTATTCACAGGTTCTAGGGACAATTTTTGAAATCTGTGTCAAAATTTTCTTTTTAGAAATAAGAATTGTAAAGACAATTTCATGATGTAGAATAGTATCTGATAGAACATTTTTCTCTTTTTCTGCTTATCTTGTTGAGATTTCTGTCACACCAGAATACTATTAACATTACGAGAGAGAGAGAGAGAACACCCTGAGCAGCTCAGAATTATGAGGAAAAGAAAGGAGCAAGACAAGAATCTTATTACCAAAAAAAAAAAAGAATCTTATTACCAGATAGGATATGAAGCATGTACACAAACTGACCCTAAGCTAATTTAAAAAAAAATAAATGTGTTGATTTGAGTTGTTTGTTGCTCACTTGCTCTTTAATATTAAGGTAGTAAAGCATTTGCAGCTATAGGAACCCTTGAACCAAGTTACATCGCTGCCTTTCTGAAAATATTTTCACTGATTCAGAGCAAAAGCAGCCTTCTCCTAAGCTTTTCCCCCCCTAGCTGAGAAAAATACTTTCATTTCTTATTGACTTCAGCATATTGAGAACATCCACACTGTAGCATCATTAACACAATATAACAGTTTGTACTCACTTTACTATTTTTCTTGATCCAGGGAACTTAAGGAGTAGACTTAAATACTGCTTACCTTTTTAGGTAAATGTTTTAGGGTGTTTGCCTTACAAGTTCTTGATAGCTGGCCTTTCTTGCCAGTCTTACTTCCCAAATACCCATCTCCAACAAATTCATACTCTCAATACCCTGAGCTCCTGCCAGCTTCTCACCATTCCCTTTTACAGTGACATACTCCCTCTGAACATACTCCCTCTTCCTGGAATGCCCCTTCCAATTGCTCATGTCCTATTTATTCTTCAGGACTCCAATCTCTGGTTTCCTCTTTGGTTTCCTAGTTTGCAATGAAAAATTAGTTTTTAAATAAATCGCTTCTGTAATAGCATTTTATATCCTAAGTTTGACTATGTATTCACTGTTTGAAGCAGTGAGTTAACATCAGGACATATTTCTGTAAAATATTGAGCATGTAATAAACACTTAACTAATATCAGTTGATTTTCCTTTTTTGAATTTTTCCTGCTTAGGTCAGACAGTTAGATTCAGCACTGGAAATTTGCAAGGAAGAACTTGCCTTGCATTTGAATCAATTGGAAGGAAATAAGGAAAAGTTTGAAAAACAGCTGAAGAAGAAATCTGAAGAGGTAAATAAATATTTTCTTTATATATAGAATATTTTTCAGGTGATTTCTTTTTGAGATATTGTTTTTATTAAGATACTTTACAAGTACATCTTTATATAGCTGATATAAAAAAATCTTTTCAATGAAATATAAATTTTAATTTTACATTCTTTTAAAAATAAACATTATTTCAGTGCAACACAAAATATGATACTTTAAAATTCTGATTCTTTTATATATTTTTAGGGAATCAGAAAATTAAATTATTAATATCACAGAGTAATTCTAATATAGATGATTAATACTTAGAACATTGTTTTAGACTTAGAGATATAAAATTCTTCAAATATTTTCCATTTTGTTTTTGTTCCTTTTAGTTGTCTAAAGGATTGAGAATTAAAAGTTAACTTTCTTTGAAATGAGTTCCTCAGATACTAGAAGATTTTTTCTTTTTTTAAGAAAAATATATTCTTATTGATTTCAGAGAGAGGAAGGGAGAGGGAGAGCGAGAGAAACATCAATGACGAGAGAGTCATCAATTGGCTGCCTCTTGCATGCCCCCTGCTGGGGATCAAGCCTGCAATCTGGGTATGTGCCCTGACCAGGAATCGAACCTCAATCTCCTGGATCATAGGTCGGTTCTCAACCACTGAGCCACGCCAGCTGGGTGAAGATTTTTCTTGAGTTATCTTATTTGTATCCTCATTGTCTACCATTTTGCTTTCAATGTAATAGGTACTCACTGAATGTTGCTCAATGGAATAATCTTGGAAGAGTTCCTTTATTTCTTTGTAAGAATATATAATACAGGGGTGGACAAAAGTAGGTTTATAGTTATAAGTATGGAAAATACAGAATTTATTCTGTGTTTTATTCTATTAATAATTGTATTATGTTCCATACAAACAGCTGTAAACTTCCTTTTGCCCACCACTGAACCAAACCAGCTAGGGCCGTTACGTTTATTTTATATCATCCTGTCTTCTTCTTTCCACTTCCTTCTATGAAGGCTTTTATGGCATCTTTGACAGATGGGCACATATATTTTTCTACTCCAGTATATGGAAATTAAATTGCCTAAACAAGGAATACTTTGTCTTCTTAAAATAGGAATGTCTGTGTGTGTTTTTTTACCACAATCTCCTTTAAAATATTTAGGCATTTATCCTAGAGCCCTCACTACACTCCAGCATAAATGGACTTAACAGAGATGGAATCTGGAGACGTTGTTTGTAATAAGACAGTTTGTTGAGCTTTATACTTTGCATTCTTAGAAACAGCATCAAGAGACTAGGTGGATAATCAACATTTACCCCAAATGAACTTACAACTTTTTTCAAAATGGCTGGAAATATAAAGCTAGGTTCAAACTGAATTAGAAATCAGAAGTGGTAGTCAGGTATGTACAGTCATATTAGAGAATAAATAAGTAAGAAAATTTGTGCATTGGTTTACTTACTGAAAAGGCCATCTTTCATTTCTTTGCCTAAATTTATATTGATATGAAACATGAAGACGAATCCAATTGTTATTTCCTTTTTTTATTTTAGGTACCAACCCATACATTTTTTTACTTTTGACTTATTTGTTTTTAGAATAAATTATAATGTCTTACAGAGAAAACTCTAATGATGGTTAATATAATTAATATAACAGCAGAGTGGTGAGGTTTTTTTATCATATATAGCTAGGTTTTAGAAAATTTGATTTGATTCTTAGTACATCCATTCTGTTAATAATAGGGGATATTATAAAGATGCTTTAATCTTTTAAATCAGTGGGTAATCCAAAATTACATACTAGCTGAATAATTAAGTCGCCCCAGAGCATATTGGTAGAAAGTTAGCTAGTTGTAAAAACTACATGTTGATGATCCATCACAAAAAGCTAATAAATATTCCTCTGGGGTTTTTACTCAGGCAAATATTTTTTTCCAGATGTTGAAAATAAATACATTTATAATTAAAATAATAGTGACTTTGGGGTCCTGAATTATTTTGAAAATATTTTAATTCCATATTAAAATTCCTTAAAAATTATAAAAGTATGTGTTCATACAAAATTACATTGTCAGCGTAATAGAAGAAAATAAACACAAAATAGAATAAAGCATTTATTCATTAAACTCAATAATTTTATTGATAAATATCTTTATTCAAATTGATGGACTTAAATTTTGAGAAGCTGGCATCATATCAGTAACTTTTTTGGGTTATATTAATATTTTCTAGTTTATATTCATATTGATATCTATTAAATAAAATATTTTTTAACTTTTATTTAAGTAATAATTGTGAGAGTGTCTTTTCTTTGGATATACATTAATACTAGATAAAATTAATTGTAAAGTAGATTTTATAATATAAATTCTACTTTTTACTTGACTTTAAATATAAAATAATGACTCCTTTAGGAAAACCTTATTGTTTGAATATAATAACTTAGCAAATGTAATCTAAAACTATTTGTCTTATAGTATATACTTTTAGAGTAAAATCAAGTGGAAGTTACATGGTAGTGCAATGCAATGCTAGTATAAATTTGAAAGATACAGGTTAATTTTTGTGAATTATATTTGGGACACAAGTAACATATTAGATACGTCAAAATTTTTAATTGAAATTATTTTGTCAGTGGCATGATTACTGAAATAAAGTTTTTGTTATTATGACTTTCTTAGTGTTTTGGTTAGGCCTTATCTTTTTTCCTTCTGTTTTGTCTATTTTCATATTTTTTCAGTTTTTTCCTCTGAATAGGAAAGTATAAGACAGAATATTCCAATAAAAAAAAAGTATTGCCCTGGCCAGTGTGGCTCAGTGGTTAGAGCGTTGGCCCAAGAGCTGAAGCATTTCAGGTCCCATTCCCAGTCAAGTGCACGGTACCTGGGTTGCAGGTTCTATGACCCAGCCCCAGTCAGGGCAAGTTCAGGAGGCAACCAGTCAATGTGTCTCTCTTGCATCGATGTTTCTCTTTCTCGCCCTCTCTCCCCGCCCAACCTTCCACTCCCTCTAAAAACCAATGGAATATCTATAAAGTATGCGTTCATACTTGCCTGTGATATCTATAAAGTTCTTCAAGTTTACAACAACGTCATCTTATAATGAAGTTTGAAATTTAAGAGCCTCTCATTATGGGTGAAGAATTGGCCCCTAACCGCTTCATGATGCTGACAAATGCTCAGCTGTTGAATAGTTAGAAAAAAGAACCAAGTCAGTATTCTCTTCCACTGTTTCTTAGCTGTTTAAAATTCCTTCTTTTGTTTTTGGAGCAATTATTGGAAAGATTCGTTGCTTTAAAGGAATTACTTTATTTTTCTTCATTTTAAAAGTAGTTATTACATAAGCAACAATAATTTTTTTTTTTACTTTTATTATGTATTTTTTGTTGAATTTACTCCCAGGCCATAAGTTTTTTTTTCCTTTAGTTTCTTCTGGGATATCTTTTTCTTCTGTGCATCCTCGCCTTCTGCTTTAGAACAGTCTGCTCTTTTTCAGTAAGGTTCATCTTAGTGTGGCAGGGAGAGCTCATATATGCACTAACCCACCCATGAGCTCTAAGTTCTGCGCCCATCTTGGGAGCTTTGTTTACCTGGATGTGCTTAATGACCAGAGAAGCTACATCTAAACCCTTAAGTTCACCATCACTCTCTGCATTTTTAAGCACGTGCAGCAAAAATTCAGCACTCTTTGGGGAACCAATTCTGTGTCCAGCCCCATTATTCGACCTGGGCACACACATACCAACTCCACCATTGTAAGAACCGAATGGCACACATTGCTTTTGTAAAGTGACATCCTTCAGATGCTTGGTGCCTTTACAGATATTCATATACTTGATGGCCTGGGCAGTTTCATGAGTGTTCTTAAAGTGAACATGAAGATTCAAACCTCTTATTATGCATGATTTTATGGGGGTTTTGGGGTCAAGTGATTAGCAAACCATTTTCAGAGGTCACCTCCCTCAGGCCAGTTATGAGGCAATAAAGCTTTTAAAGAAGATTTACCTACAACTCACTCTCTAATACTTAAGTTTTCACATTTCTTTTTGCCTGCATGTTTTCATAATTACATAAGTGAAATGTAATTTTGAATTTTTTTCTCACTTAATTTCATTAAGAACTTATGGCCTGTTCGTAAAATTTTATATTTGCTACTGTCTTTTAAATCGTGATTTTATACGGTTGTATCACTTTAAATCAGATTGATATGTTATCATTTATTTAACCTCCTTTTGGGAGCAGGTGAAGAATATTATAAAGTATACATTAAATTATACTGCATTGTTTATGCAATTTTAACAATACTTTCTTTTGGCAGATATTTTAGAATTTGTAAAACTATGACAAAGGGCATTTTCCCCCCCTTTTAATAGGTGCATTTAGATAACTTAAAAGCTATCTTTTAAAGCAGTTTCGGGGAATGTAATATTCATGTCCTAAATATTTGGAGCAAATGAGTATGATGTCTTAATTTTAATTGTCATTCCTTTATGTGTTTTTTGGGCCATGAATATTCAAAAGTGCATTACTAGGATATCATTTTACAAACAATGGCAATAATAGCAACAATAATGTAATAAATAGCATATAACACTTATGCAGTGCTTTCATGGCTATAATTTCTTATCAGTAAGGGGAAAAGATACATCGACGGGAGTTTGGAAAAATCCATGGCTTCCTGTGTTCTATCCCTCCTCCTGGGAGGGGTCACATAGAACATGCTTCTTTCTGTAGCAGTGAAAATACAGTAACATCTGCAGTGTTTCTGCCCAGGGAAGCCTACTTATGACTCAGAGATCAAGATTTTTTATGGTGGACTGGTCACATAGGAACAGCCACAAGTGTCAAAATTTCAGACTCAGAAGGAAGGCATGATTCAATGCCCTAGCCAGACAAAACAATTTCATCTCTTAGGGAATGTCAAAATCCACATTCCCAGAGACCAGTCAAGAGCCAACCCTGTAAGTAGTCCCTTTTAACATATCTCCTTATCAAAAAGATAGACCCTGCTCTTTCATATAATAACCTATAGCAACAAATACAGTTGTCCCACATGACAAGTGGGATAATTATCTAAGAAGGCAGACAGCTTTGACATTTTGTTCCTTTTTATTTGAAAGATGTCATAATGAGAAATGTGTATATTTGTTAGGTATATTGTTTACAGAAAGAGCTAAAGATAAAAAATCACAGTCTTCAAGAGACCTCTGAACAAAATGTTATTCTGCAGCATACTCTTCAGCAACAGCAGCAAATGTTACAGCAAGAGACAATAAGGAATGGAGAGCTAGAAGACATTCAAACTAAACTTGAAAAACAGGTATATATTATTGGTTAAAATTATTTTACTTGTATGAAATAGAAATTATTACAATTGATAATACATTTTTTGTTATATAAATTGTTCAATCTCGAAGATTTCATATTATAAGAAATATTCTGTGTTAACATTGTAAAATGGATAAAGTTCTATTCCTGTGTAATGTGACCATGTGGTATCATGGGTACATTTTGTCATTCCACACAATTTAGTTATAATCTAGTCTTCTTTTTCAATCACTTCTTTCTTCTTAGACCTGAAAATAATACCTACCTGAATATAATGCCTATATGAGTCATCATACCTTCCAATTTCTTCTTTTTGGATCAAGACATGTGTGATAATCCCTAAAGAAATGCCAAAGCAATGCACTAAAAGAAAGATCCCAAAGGCTACTACTTCTTTCTAAAAATATTTATTATTCCAAAGGGAGAGTCCTCAGAAAATTTATACTAGAATCTAATCTCCTCTTTCATTCATTACCAAATTCATCTGAATTCTTCAGACAGATACTGTATTTCACATCCTTTGTTCTTTTCCCTTTTTCAAACTTTATAGAAATGTGTAAATTAGAAAATGATGGTCTGGCCCACCCAGGCATGGCTCAGCGGTTGAGCGTCGACCTAGGATCCAGGCGATCAGGGTTCGATTCCCGGTCAGGGCACATGCCCGGGTTGTGGGCTGCAGCCGATCAGTGGTTCTCTCATCATTGATGTTTCTATCTCTCTCTCTCCCTCTCCCTTCCTCTCTCTGAAATCAATAAAGATGTATTTTAAAAAAAAAGAAAAGAAAAAAGAAAATGATGGTCTGTATAACCTCACCTCTATGTCATGTGTACTTTTATCTGTGTATTCTGAATTCATCTCAGCCTCTCCAGTGGAACTAACGGATCTCCTCTCAATACATTCAGGCATGGCAGGCAGGTATTATACATCGCTCTTGTACCTCTCCATTGCTTTTGTTAAACTCTAGACCTGTTGTTTGATATGCCTGATGTACAGCTTTATCCTGAAGTGTTTCTTCATCTTATCTGTGTTAGATTCCCACTTCCTAGATTCTTTGTTATTGATCTGGGTTTTGCAGGATTGATTATAATTCTTGTTCCTTCTGGAGTTGTTTTCATTTCTATAATTGTCCTACAGTTTTCTTCTGTGTTTTTCCCCCCTAAGTCTGCCAGTTCATTTGTATTTTTCATTTGATGATTTTATTTCTTCATGATCTTTGTTTTAAGAGATTTTTGCGTTCTCTTTAATTTCTTTGAGGGTCTAAAGGAGTTGATATCTAAAAATTTCTTTAGTATTTGGAGTAAATTTCTTAGTGAATATTTTTCTAGCTTTCATTTCTGTCTGCTATGCATAGGTTCTATGCTGTATTCTTTCAGATTATTACTTATCTTTAGATTTTTTTTGTGCTTATGAGTGTTATTCAATTAAGCACGGAGTAGGTAGATTTTTCATGGTTCCCTACCCTTTTTACCTGGGTACTATTTTAATTTTATTTTTGGAGCTTGAGTTGGGGGTGTAGGTCTTAATAATTTATCATCTGAATTTAGTTCTTCAGTTAGTGGTTTTAGAAGAGCAAGGAGGATGTTAAAGTCATTGGCCAGAGATTAACTTTGAGATCACAGTCATGTAAATGTTCATTGAAAACATGGAGTGGCTGAGATTAACTAGGGAGAGAATATAGAATGAGGGGTGAGAAGATTGACTTGGACAGATCTCTGAGGGATATGGTACATGGAAGCCAAAGTAAGTATTTCATGATAAGGAATGACAGTTGGTGTCATCAATTGCTGCAATCAATATCAAGTAAATTGAGGGTTGAGAAATAGCCATTGGAATTAGCAGCATGGAGGTCATTGATGACTTAGTGCAGTTTCTGAAGAATGGCCAGATCGCTACAGGTTGAGGAATGAATAAGAAGTGAGAATGATACAGCAAGCGTAGAAAACTCTGAGAAGTTGGGCTATGAAGAGGAGGAAAGAAAGGATAGTAGCTGGAGGGAGGTAGAGGTATGAAGGAAAATTTTTTACAATAGGAAGGTCTTGAATGTGTTTAAATGCTGATATAAAGAAGCCAGAAGAAAGAGAGAACAAAGATAGAGTAGATAGTCAATAGTACGAGATGCCTGAGGCAGTGAATAGGAATTGAATCCAGAATACCTATGAAATAACTTGACTTGTATAGGAGGAAGACCGTCTCCTTCACTGGAGAACAGAAGGAAGAATGAATGGGAGCAAATGCAAGTTATAATGTTTGAGGGTAGGTAGGAGTCTAGGAATCTTTCACTGAATGAGCCGATTTGTGAAGAAGGAAAGGAACATGGTTTGACAAGAGAAGAAAAAACATTTCAAGTGGGGATAATGAAAAGAACATTGACCATTATTTTATTAAATTCTTGTAGATCTTATTTTAGTGTTATGAAGTGGCCAGTTCTATACATATATAAATGAATGAAATATCTTTATTATTAAAAATTATTTTGCTTTTATATTTCAAAACATTACAGTAAGTCCTCATTTAACATCGATAAGTTCTGTGACTAAGTGAAATGACAAATCACGAAACCAATTTTAGCATATAGGCTAATATAAACAAGTTAGGTTACTATGTACCTCACCAATGTTATAATGAAACGGTGTTGAATGAAATGTTACTTGAGGACCTGCTGTAATTCTTGGTCTGTACTTTGTTTTATATAATACATCTTGAAACTGAATGATAGGCTAGGCTACAAATTTACATAAATATTTTTCTTCTGAAGAATGTTGAGCTGTGACTGAATTTAAAACACTGAAAACTTCTTTACAAGGTATCGAAACTGGAACAAGAGCTTCAAAAACAAAAGGAAAATTCAGCTGAAAAGTTGAGAAAAATGGAGGAGAAATGTGATGCAGCCACACAAGAAGCAGATTTGAAAAGGCAGAAAGTTATTGAGCTTACTGGCACTGCCAGGTAAAATGAATATGATAGTTTTTATTTATCTTCCTCTCTCAACATCAGTAGTACCTGAGTTTCAATATCAGGTAATGTTCAGTGAAGTTTTTGCTTGAGGAGGTGATTTCTCTACCGTCTGTGTTCCTATAGTGTTTTGTTTGTACCTCCTTCATAACCGTTTTACTCTAAGTTCCTTAATACCAAGATAATATCTAGTTTATTTGAAGGGTCCTCCCACAACAATTAGCATAATTCCTAATACCTCAGTATGCACTCAGGAACTGTTGTAGTGAATTAAGTTGTGGAAAACATTACAAGCTGCAGGCAAAGGTGTACTCATATACAGGAATGGGATCAAAATGTTTATGGGAGGGAGTAACTTAATAGAATAAAGCAGTGGTTCTCCACCTTGACTGAACCCTCACTGAACATTAAAAATCACCTGAGGAGCTTTACAATGTACTGATGCCTAGGTCCCACCTCGAAAGATTGTGAATTTAATTTGGGCTGGGTCTAGGCATCAATTAGTCATGAAAGGGACCCATAAGCTAAAAGCTATACTTAGTTTCCCCAGATCTCTTCTACTTTGTCAACAAGAGTTGGCCTAATTAATATTATGCTCATAATTAGTCCACCGTTCTACCAATAAGAGGTAAGAGTTACCTTATGCACTTGAACTAAAACCACGTCACCAGGCTTCCTCTCCCTTACCGACAGGAGTAAAGATAGGGCCTTTGTGCCTGGAGTAGTAACTTGCTTCCCCAGATGTCCTCAACTCTCTTGACAGGGTCAAGAAGGTGTCCTATATTTAAAACTAAGAACACACTTCTTCACACCATCTTTCTTCTACTGACAGGGGTCTATCCACAGCCTCACCACTAGTGTGTACCTTAATTCCTCAAAGATTAATCACGTTGTAACTTTATCCTTGCTTATGCAAAAAAACACTAGAAGCTATAGATTTCCTGGTCAATCCTTATGTCCCATACTAACCTCTCAACATATTCTCTTCCCATCTCCCACCTCATTCTACCTTCTGAAAGGCTTCCACTGCGTCCTCTGGAATTCACAATCCATCCTTAGAGACATCCCTATATTCTCAACTTCATTTTGCTTGCTGTAATAGACATCTAACTCTCCTCTGAGGACATTGCTTCTTTCTCTAAAGTTAAAACTTTTCCCCACAGTTCTTGTACCACAAGGGTCAGGATGTGGAATAGTATATCATACTGCATGAACCTCACGTCATCAGATCATATCATCCCTCACTGTTGCTGACACCTACAGGCCACGTGACTTGCCATTGCTGTCTCTAAAACCACTGCTGTCGTCATTCTTGGAGATTTCAATGTAGCTGATTCAGTCTGGCTGATCCTCTAACACCTTAGCCTCATTTTCAAAAATTCTTCTCCTCTAATGATCCTGATCTCTGTCATACCTCAGACACTCACTCACATGATTCACCCTCGATCTTGTCATTTTATATTTCAGCATAATCTGAATATTATGCATCTACCCCATATTATCCTCATTCCCTTTTAATACCCTAAATTCAACAGTTCTTTGGTCTTACCAGGACCTCTAATCCATCATTTCTACCACTCTCTCATTCCCTAATTTCCTCTCCTCTCTCTTTACCCAGCTTAAATTTTTGTTAGTTATTAAAATCACCGATTTGCAAATACCCATGGTTCCCTTACCTCTCTCTCACTTTGTGGTACACAGCCTAAAAACCAACTCAGACTACTCCATGTTTGCATCTTTACAGAGGCTTGAGAAAATCTAACTGCGCTGACCAGTCTTACTTTAAAATCATAACTTTAAACCTTAAATGTTCCCTTAATTCTATCTAGCAATATTCTTCTACACCTTTGCCTTTTCTTTCAAACTTACAACCCCTCCCCAATGTTGCTTTCTGTTTCACTGAGAAAATTGAAGTAATTGTTTCTTTTTTCACCCCTACAATTTGAGTTCTAGACAAAACCTTTTTATGATTATAGCTGTAGGCACATTCAATAGGAAAAGTAAGTCCTGAATACTAACAGGAAGCTATAAACTAGATAATTAAACTTCATAAGAAAGATGCACCCTAGTTCCAAGAAGTCTCTTCATGAAGCAGGATTTTCTTTTTCTCTGTTCTCATTATCACTTCTTTCACTTCTGGAACTACAACTTATAAAACACTTTTTCTCTCCCAAAAGGTATTAGAGTTAAAATATATCTCTTATATATCGCCTTGGATCTGTTTTAGCAATAACAGATCCTTTCTTTTCAGATAAAAAGAAAGGAAATTGATTTATTGAACACTTTCTGTGTGCCAGGCAGTGTGCTAGGTAAACACATTAACTCAGTCTTCAAAACTGCCCTATCAGGTTTTATTATCCCAGTTTTTATTTATTTATTTATTTATTTATTTATTTATTTATTTAGATTTTTAATTGATTTTTAGAGAGGAAGGGAGGGGAAGAAAGAGAAAGAAACATTGATGTGAGAGTGAAACATCGATCAGCTGCCTCTTGCACATCCCTTACCGGGGATGGAGCCCGCAGCCTGGGCATTGCCCTGACCAGGAATCAAACCAGCAACCTCTCAGTATACAGGATGACACCTAACCAATTGAGCCACACCTGCCAGGGCTATCCCAGTTTTTAGAATAAAGAAACTGAAACTCAGGAGAGAAAAAGGGGACATCTGTAATACTTTCAACAATAAAGATACATTTTTTTAAAAAGATTCATTTCTTGCCCAGCTGGGCGTGGCTCAGCAGTTGAGTGTCAACCTAGGATCCAGGCTATCGGAGCTCGATTCCCGGTCAGGGCACATGCCTGGGTTGTGGGCTCGATCCCCAGTCCGGGGCGTGCAGGAGGCAGCCGATCAATGACTTTCTCATCATTGATGTTCCTATCTCTCTCCCTCTCCTTTCCTCTCTCTGAAATCAATAAAGATATATTTAAAAAAAAAAAAAAAGATACATGTCTAGGTAACTTTTGGAAATTATGAAGCTAAGTGTTAAAAAAAAATAACTGAAACTCAAAGAAGTTAGGGTATGAGATGCTTACTTTAGATGTGCTCTAAAACCAAGTTTTTTCTGTTACAACACAACTGAAAGCTGCTTCTGGTATTATATGTAAATGTCACTGCATATGAATGTTCCTAACCCTGTTCTCTCTCTTTTTTTAATTTTTTTATTGATTTTAGAGAGAGAGAAAGGGAGAGGGAGAGAGAGATAGAAACATCAATTGGCTGCTTCCTGCATGGCCCCTACTGGGGATAAAGCCCACAACCCAGGCATGTGCACTGACTGGGAATCCAACCAGCGACTTCCTGGTGCATGGGAAGACGCTCAATCTCCTGAGCCACACTGGCTGGGCCTAACCCTGTTCTCTTAGTGCTGAGGCTCATGTAGCCCTTCTTAGATTTCTCAGACTACTTCTATAGCTATTTAAAAATTTTTTTGCATTTGAAGAAGCCAGAGATTCTCAGCTGCTAAAAGTTTAGTATTATTTTTGCATAATCCTTCCTTAGGCTCTGTTTCCAGTATGACTTGATTGTCCATAGTAAATCTGTGACTCTAAGGTGAAGTATTTCTGGAAAACCTGATAGGTTTAAAGCCTGTTGTAAAATTTTGAAAGTTACTGGGAAATTTTTAGTATTGGATTATTTATATAGTAGTTACAAATCTTAAACCCTTAAATATTTGTTATAGTATTTCCCTGTTTACATAGTGTCAGGAAATAATGCATAGTTGCTCATAAATAAATAAGAGTGGAATTTATCAAGTACTGAAACTTTTAAACAGAACAAAAAAATTTTTTGATAGTTTTCCAAAATGTATATTTTATTGTCACTTTTACCTTCTCTAGGTGTCTTGGGGTTATCATTACATATATCAGTTATTATAGTATAGTAACCTGATGAAACCTTGAGGAGTATAGAGCTCTGTTAATTTTTTACTAAATATCTGTAGACAGCTGTGCTTTTTGAGTTCTTGTATTTATTAAAAATAATTTTCCCCCACCCTGGCCGGTGGGCTCAGTTGGTTGGGCATCTTCCCATGCACCAAAGAGTTGACTGTTCGATCCCTGGTCAGGACACATACCTGGGTTGCAGGCTAGATCCCCAATGGGGGAACATGTAGGAGGCAGCCCATCAATGTTTTCTTCTCACACATCAATGTTTCTCTCTCTCCCCCTCTCCCTTCCTCCTTCTCTAAAAAATAAGTAAAAAATCTTCTAAGCCCTGGCTGGTGTGGTTCAGTGGTTAGAGTGTCATCTGGCAGGGATGACATTAACAATTGTTTAATTAATGATGAATATCGCTTTGGAATCACCAGCAAATTGTCTTAAAACTTCCTCCATCGTGTTTATTAGCCAATAGGTAACCGAACTTTCATAGTGGAATAAGCCCAGGACTTCCTGAAAGTTAGTAAACTTTCACTGTTAATAAGTATTTGTATTATCCTAGACTAGTGACTTTCAACCTGCAATAATTTTTAAAACATGCAGTACCTGACTATTCAGTCAAGGGCACTGACTTCTTTTCCCTTAGAATTGTCAGATAGCCAACACAACAATAGCCGCCCAGTGTGAGTGAATCAAAATTATACCTTTTTTCTCCTGCCAAATTGGCAAAAAATATATTTTTTGGTGTGCCATAGAACTTTAGTAATTAGTTTATGTGTGTCATAAGATTAAAAAAAGGTTGAAAATCACTGACAGACAGTTCACTTGATCTTCCAGTTTCATTATCTGTAAAGCAAGGAAGTTGCACTAGCCTAAGAACTACTAGTACCTTTTAAAGTTAAAAAAATAACATTATTAAGAAGTGTCTGAGTAAAAATGACTGACTTGGCTCTCCTATGAGTAGTTTGGTCTTTATGGTGAATATTTGGATGGTTGGCTTATTTTCTGTGTTGCAGATAATAGAAATTACAGATGAATGAGGTACCTCTCTGTGGATGTTCTCAATCCATATAAAGCTTTATTAAAATTAACTATAGTTAGATTGAAAAGAATGCTAGTCTTGCTAAATATTTCTAGGTAGCACAGTTGTATTTAGTGGTATGAAATTGGTGTAGAATTACAGTCTTTTAGCTGGAGCATTTTTAACAATATCATAGGTGATATAAGATTCTGACTAGACATTTTGCTGATATTTGTCCCTGTATAACTTGAAGTTTTTGTTTAGTCAGAGACAAGTCAGTTGGTTTTTAAGTTTCCAAATTATCATTGGTTTTATTTTTTGTTTTTAATTAGGCAAGTAAAACTTGAGATGGATCAGTACAAAGAAGAGCTGTCTTCAATGGAAAAAGAAATAATGCACCTAAAACGAGATGGAGAAAATAAAGCAATGCATCTCTCTCAGTTAGACATGATCTTAGAACAAACAAGGACAGAACTAGATAAGAAAACAAATACTGGTAAGCAACAGGTTACCTGAACTTAGCTGCCTGCATATTTACACCTGAGGAAGTAGGCTAAAGTAAGAATTTGGGATGATGGGGTTGAAAGGAACAATGAGTAGTCATGTTGCCTGTGGTAGATGAATAAAATTGAATATTCTTAATTATAATTATTTACAAAGTTCTTAATAATAGTTTATTTGTAGTTCTAAAATTATTCTCTTTCTTAACAGTTAAGGAGCTGGAAAAGTTACAGCATCACACTGAAACTGAACTAACAGAAGCCTTGCAGAAAAGGGAAGTAGTAGAGACTGAACTACAAAATGCTCATGGAGAATTAAAAAGTACTTTAAGACAGCTCCAGGAATTGAGAGATGTGCTGCAGAAGGCTCAATTATCATTAGAGGAAAAATACACCACTATAAAGGATCTCACAGCTGAACTTAGGTGAGTTAAATATTAAGAAATGATATCACAATTGCAATAAGAGATATCAAAATTTAGTATCTAAGTACTAAGAAATTATATCACAATAATCACTTTATTATTCTGAATCCTTGGGTCATACAGTAAAATTTGATGTTGAATTCTAGGTGTCTAAACATGTCAACTGGTTCACTGTGGCTCTTCCAGGTCAGCCTCTCCCATGCTCCATCTAATAAATTCAACAGTTGCTGTTGGCTGATATTTTATTATTGATCTTTGGACCATTTTACACTGGCCCACTCCTATATTCCATAGTGGTAAAAAATGATTGAACCATCATACAGCAGTGGTTAATAGCAAAATAATATTAATAATAACAATATTGTTCTTTGTATTAAGCCCTTATTTTGTGCCAGTACTATGCCAGGGACCTTATATGATCTTACTCCTTTCTTTACAACAAACCTATTAGGTACATATACCACCATTTTTTTCTCTCCTTTGGCTCTTAGTTTTTTGGTTTTGTAAAACTTATCATTATTGTTGAAAATATTACAGATGTCCTCTTTCTCTCCCCTTGACTCCTTCCATCCCGCACCTACTCCCTGCCCCACGCCTTTACCACACTATTGTCTGTGTCCACCGGCTATGCATACATGCATATAAATTCTTCAATTAATCTCTCTCCACCCACCCCCGCCTTCCCTCTGAGATTTGTCAGCCTGTTCCATGCTTCTATGTCACTGAATCTATTTTATCAGTTTATTGTGTTCTTTAGATTCCACATATAAGTGAGATCATGTGATATTTGTCTTTCTCTGCCTGACTTATTTCATATATCACCTTTTTACACTTGAGAAAACTGAGGCTTGGGAAAATTAAGTAAAATGTCCAAAGTCAGAAAGACATAGAGGGTTCAGAGAAGAGAATTAAGCACAAGTCTGTCCAACACTAAAATCTAGGTTCTTAGATTAGCAGCTAAATTCACCACATCTATGGTGGGTGTGGTTGGAGAGCCAGACCAGAGCCAAAGTGGGAAATAGATTCTGAAAGTGAAAACAGAATCACAACCCAGGATGTGAAATGTAGAATGAAAGAACAGGGTAGAGAGAGAACAGCAGGATGACCCTGAAACTTAGATGTATCTCATGATTTATTGTAGGGTTTCTTTCTCTTTTCTAACACAGACTCATTTTTAGTAAATTTCATGTAGCTTTAAATAGTGTCAGACTTTCAAACCCCTATCTCTAGTAATTGCCTATTCCTCAAACTCCAGACTTAAATATATAATGAATTACTTACCTCCACTTAGATATATATTTTTTTAATTCTCACCCGAGGCTATTTTTCCATTGATTTTCAGAGAGAGTGGAAGGGAGGGAGATGGAGAGAGAGAAAGAGAGAGAAACATTGATGTGAGAGAGACACATCAGTCAGTTGCCTCTCGCATGCACCCGCACCAGAGTTGGGGAGCAAACCTGCAACCCAGGTACGTGCCCTTGACTGGGAATCGAACCCTTGACCCTTCAGTCCAAGGGCCAATGGTCTAACCACTGAGCAACACGGGTCAGGGCTCTTCCTCTTTTCATTTAATTTATTAGCCAGTCATGTCAACTCTTAATTTCCAAAATATATTCTGAAATCTATTACTTTATTGGCCTCTTTTTTTATCACCGCCTTAGCACTACCATCATCATCTCTCACCTGGTCTGTTGCTGTGACCTCCCAACTGGTTTCTCAGTTTAAATTCTTGACCCTCCCCACGATCCATTCTCCACAGAATGGATTTAAGTTTTAATTTAAAACATCAATCAGATTATATTATTCCCTTACGTAAACCTTCTAATGGCTTCCCAAAAGATCCAGAATGAAACCCAAGCTACTTGGGAAGTGTAAATCAGAACCACCATGAGATACAACTTCACACCATAATGTGTGAAGGCCATAATAAAAACAAATGAACAAACAAACAAAAACCAAAACAGAAAATAACAAGTATTAACAAGTGGGTGGAGAAACTGGAACCCTCATACATTGGTGGTGGAAAACTAAAATGGTATAGCTGCTGCACAAAACAGTTTGGCAGTTCCTTAATAAGTTAAACATAAAATTATTATATAACTCAGTAATTTCACTCCTAGGTATGTACCTAAAATAATTAAAAACAGATGTTCAAATAAAAATAGTGCACAAATGTTCATAGCAGCTCTTCACAATAGCTGCTAAGTGGAAACAACCCAAATGTCCATCAGTAGTTGAATGGATAAACACAGTGTGGTATATCCATACAAGGATTATTCAGCCATGAAAAGAAAGTACTGATACATGATAGAGCATGATGAACCTTGGAAACATCATGCTGAATGAAAGAAACCAGATACATACTGCATAATTCCATTTATATGAAATATCCAGAATTAACATCTGTAGAGATAGAACGCAGATTAGTGGTTGCCAGGAACTAGGGGGAGGGCAAATAGAAAATAACTGCAAGTGGGTATGAAATTTTCATTTGAAGTGATGAAAAAGTATTAGAAATAGTGGCAATGGTAACACAGCATTGCAAATGTACATAATGTAACTGAATTGTATACTTTAAAGTGGTTAAAATGGTAAATCTTATATGTATTTTATCACAATTTTTTAAAAATCCAAGCTCCTTATTTTGGAATACAAAACCCTACATGACAAGGCTCGGTCTACTTCCCTGGCTTCACTTCATACTGTTCTTGTTCCTGGCCTTTTTATTTTACTTAAAACTTACCATGGTTTTCCCCACTCCAACTTTGCTATAGCTGTTTCTTTGGTCTGAAATAATGGTTCTATGGCCAGCTTCTTGCCCTTCCTGACCACCTGCTCTAAAGTAGCCAGCCAGTCACTATTTCATCACTATTTAATACTCTGACATAGCACTTTGTATTGTGATATTTTTCTTTTTGAGTTGTTTATTATTTATAGTTCATCTTCTCTCCTGGACCTACTAGAATGTAAACGTATGTGATGAAGGACTTCTGTCTTGTTAACTATTAAGTCCACAGTACATAGAACCCTGAAATCTAGGAAGCATCCAGTAAATATTTGCTAAATGGTTAAGTGAGTGAATGGATGAAAGAAGTAAAAATGAAATCTAAAATTCTAGCTAATAGCTGAATTTTGGGAGCTCAGTTATTTGCATAGACAGCAGTTAGAGTTATCTTTAGAATTCATTTCATGTTACTTTTAGAATATTAGTTTAGCTTTGTATTTTTATAACTTTTGACTTTTAGGAGAATAATATACTGCTCATTAAAGAAGTTCAGAAACTTTTAAAAAATCAGTACCTTTATTTAATATTGTCTCATTTTTTTAAACAATATATCTTTATTGCTTTCAGAGAGAGGAAAGGAGATGGAGAGAGAGAGATGGAAGCATCAATGATGAGAGTCATTGATTGGCTGCAGCCCACAACCCAGGCATGTGCCCTGACCAGGAATCGAACCCCGATTGCCTGGATCCTAGGTCGATGCTCAACTGCTGAGCCATGCCTGCCGGGCAATTGTCTCGTATTTAAGACTGGAAAAATCATTTGAAGATTTTCAAGATCAACACAACATTTTCTGGCTTTGTCATATCAGAACTTAAGAGTTCAAATTAAAATTCTCTGATCACAGGCTTCAGAGTGGTAGAAGTATTAAAATTGTGTTAGTACTGCATTTTTATAATGCAAAATTATATATAAGTTAGGGTTTTAGGAGGATGAGAATTTACAATATATATATTTATAAAACATATATAAAATAAATATATAAAATACACTTATATTTATAAAATATTTCTATAGTAGACTTCATTACTTCACTATATGTAAGGCATCATTTTGAGTAAAATTCCCATGAGAAACACAATGGTCATTTACTCTTGACCTGTGGATGTCAGGAATACCAACCATGAGATAAATACCTCATTCAATTGTAATAAACTCACAGCTGTTACATAGAAAAGACATTCAAAGGTTCCCTTGGTCTATAGATGAAAAAAATCTGGATATATTTTTTTAAATTCTTACATTGATTCAGTCTTATTCCCTGGGAGTGCTTTAACATTTAGCTTAAACTGTCCACAATAGTAGAGTTTAAGTTAAGTTTTGCCTTTTTAGAACCCTCTATTAAACTAATTATATTAATATCAATCATTTTTCTTATACATTATTATTTTAATTTGAGCCCTTTCAATATGAAATAATTTCATATATCCAATCACTTTTAACTACAGGAAAGGTAACCCAGTTGATGTTTAAAAACTATAATATTTTTACTATTTGCTTTGATCTTTTTCCTTTGTAACTTTCAGAGAATGCAAGATGGAGAATGAAGACAAAAAGCAAGAACTCCTTGAAATGGATCAGGCACTTAAGGAGAGAAATTGGGAGCTAAAGCAAAGAGCAGCTCAAGTTGGTTTTCTTAATTATATTTTAATGAAATTTTCTGTTAAAATACAGTCACACAGTGTTTCAGTGGTCACACTTTTTGACAAATGGACATTTTATAACATATTTGGTTTTTGTGCACATAAATATTTTTGAAAAATTAGAAATATATCATCTTTCTTTATCTTGCTATTTTTACAGCAAAAGAGTTTTTGAGAATGAAGGTTAGCTTAGTATCTGAGCCTTTTGATCTCTTATATTAGTGTATATCAGAAAAAATGGGATTAAAGGAGTTATTTGCTCAGCTAATGTTTGTTGGAGGAGCAAAAATACTCGGAAGGTATTATTCATCCTCATCTTTTTTGAAGACTTTACTTTTTAGAGCAGTTTTAGGTTCACAGCAAGATTAAGCGGAAGGTACAGATTTCCCACATACCCAACATGTACACAGCTTTCCCCATTCTCAACATTCCCCATCAGAGGTAGAACATTTGTTACAGTCATGGGCCTACATCGATGCATCATAATCTCCCAAAGTCCAGAGTTTACATTACAATTGACTCTTGGTGCTACGACATTCCCTGGGAGGAATGCATGATAGGTAGCCACCATTATAGTATTTTCCCTGCACTAAAAATCCTCTGGGACCCACCTATTCACCCTCCCCTCTTTTCCCCCAACCCTGGCAACACTGATCTTTTTATTGTCTTAATAGTTTTGCCTTTTCCAGAATATCATATACATAATTTGAATCATAGTATGTAGTCTTTTCTGATTGGTTTCCTTTGGGTAATGTACTTTTAAAGTTCCTCCATGTCTTTTCATACCTTGACAGTTCCTTTCATTTTAGTACTGAATAATATTCCATATCCTGGATATACTGCAGCTTATTTATCCACTCACCTCTTGGAGGCCGTCATGGCTGCTTCCAAGTTTTGGCAATTATATATAAAGCTGCTATAAATTTTCATGTGTAGCTTTTTGTGTTGACGTAAGTTTTCAACTCCTTTGGGTAAATACCAAGGAGCATGATTGCTGGATCATATTGTACGAGTATGTCTACTTTTATAAGACACTTCCAAACTGCCTTCCAAAGTGGCTGTACCATTTTGCATTCTAACCTGGAATGAATGTGAGTTCCATGCTGGCTAGCATTCAGTGTTATCAGTGTTTCAGACTTTGACCATGCTAATAGGTGTGTAGTGTTGTCTCCTTGTTGTTTTAATATGTATTTCCCTAATGACCTGATAGGGAACATTGTTTCCTATGCTTACTTGACACCTATTTATCTTCTTTGGTAAGGTATCTTTTATTTTTTAATTGGGTTTATTTGTTCTTAAAGATTATTTAATTGATTTTTAGACAGAGAGGAAGGGAGAGAGAGAGAAGCATCAATGTGAGAGCCAAACATACATCAGCAGCCTTCTGCCTGCCCCCTACCGGGGAGTGAGCTGGAAACCCAGGCATGTGCCCTGACTGGGAATTGAACCTGCAACCTTTCAATGCACTGGACAGCACCCAACAAACCGAGCCACACCATCCAGGGCAGGTTGCTTGTTTTTTTATTGTTGAGTTTTAAGAGTTTTTTGTGTATCTTAGATACCAGTCCGTTATCAAATTTGTCTTTTGCAAATATTTTCTCTCAGTGTGTAGCTTTCTTTCTCATTTTTTTGACATTAACTTTCACAAAATAGAAGTTTTTCGTGAAGTCTAGCTTATCAATTATTTCTTTCATGGATTGTGCCTTTGGTTTTTTACCTAAAAAGTTATAGCTGTACTCAGTCATCTAGGTTTTCTTCTATGTTATCTTTTAGGAATTTTATAGTTTTGCACTTACATTTTGGTCTGTAATCCGTTTTGTGTTAATTTTTGTGAAGGCTGTAATGTCTGTGTCTAGATTCTTTTTTTTTTAAATTGATTTTTAGAGGGGGAGAGAGAGAGAAACATCAGCCGGTTGCCTTCCCTACATGCCCTGACTGGGGATTGAACCCAGAACCTAGGTATGTGCCCTGACTGGGAATCGAACTGACCACCTTTTGGTGTATACGGGTTGGTGATCCAACTGAGTCACCTGACCAAGGCTAGATTCTTTAATCCAGCACCATTTGTTGAAAAGACTATCTTTTCTTCATTGTATTGCCTTTACTCTTTTGTTAAAGATCGATTGACTAGCCCTGGCTAGTGTGATTCAGCAATTAGACCAGGGGTGGGGAACCCTTATTCTGCTAAGGACCATTTAGATATTTATAACACTATTCACGGGCCATATAAAATTATCAACTTAAAAATTAGCTATGAAAAAAGCTCCTAGAATTATTGAATTTTGAGTCCCGCCTGTGGTTGCCTCGGAAGGTCCAAACCAAATGATTTCTCTGGCTTGACATTCCCTACTCCTGGATTAGAGCATCGGCCTTGCACCAAAAGGCCATGGGTTTGATTCACATACCTGGGTTCCAGGTTCGACTTGTGTGAGAGGCAACCAATCGATGTGTCTCTCTCACATTGATGTTTCTCTCTTTCTCACTCCCTCCCTCCCTTCCACTCTCTCTAAAAAGCAATGGAAAAAATATCCTTGGGTGAGGATTTAAAAAAAGATCAATTGACTATATTTATGTGGGTTTGTTTCTGGGCTCTCTATTCTCTTCCATTGACCTATTCACCTATTTTTTTTACCAGTACCACACTGTCTTGATTAGTGTAGCTTTATAGTAGTAAGTCTTGAGGTTGGGTGGCATCAGTCCTCCAATTTTGTTATTCTCTTTCAATGTTGTGTTAGCTATTGGTCTCTTGCCTCTCCATATAAACTTTAGAATCAGTTTATAGATATCTGCAAAATAACTTGCTGGAATTTTGATTGAGATTTCCTTGAATTTATAGATCAAGCTGGGAAGAACTGACATCTTGGCAATATTGAGTCTTCCTACCCATGAACAATGACTCTCTCCATTTATTTAATTCTTTGATTTCTTATATTGGAATTTTATAGTTTTCCTTATATATATCACGTATATTGTGTTAGATTTATGCCTAAGTATTTATTTTGTGGAGGTGCTAATGTAAATGATACTGTGTTTTTAATTTCAAATTTCTCTTGTTCATTGTTGATATATAGGACAACAATTGGCTTTTGTGTAGTAACCTTGTACCCTAGCCCCTGCTATAATTGCTTATTAGTTCCAGAAAATTTTTGTCAAATCTTTTGGATTTTCCTACCTAGGTGATCATGTTTTCTGTGAACAAAGATAATTTTATGTCTTCCTTTCCAATACGTATACCTTTTATTTCCTTTACTTTTCTTACTGTGTTAGCTAGGATTTCCTAGTTTACCAAAAATTTTTATCATGATTGGCTGTTAGATTTTGTCAAATACTTCTTCCTTAGGTGTTGATGTGATAGATTACATTGATTTTCATATGTTGAACCAGCTTTTGATACATAGAATAAAGCCCACTTGTTGTGGTATATAATTTTTTTATTCTTTATTGGGTATGATTTGGTAACATTTTGTTGAAAATTTTTACAGTTATGTTCATGAAAGATATTGGTCTGTAGTTTTCTTTCCTAATGATGTCTTTGTCTTATTTGGTATTAGGGTAAGGCTGGCCTCACAGAATGAATTAGGAAGTTTTTCCTCTTCTATCTTCTGAACAAGATTGTAGAGAATTATTATAATTCTTTTCTTAAATGTATGGTAGATTTCACCAATGAACCCATCTGGGCTTGGTGCTTTGTTTTGGAACATTATTTATCATTGATTCAATATCTTTAATAGATACAGAGTTATGTAGATTATTTCTTTTTGTGTGAGTTTTGACAGATTGTATCTTTCAAGTAATTGGTCTTTTTCATCTAGTTTTATTAAATTCATGGTGAGGGTTGTTCATAGTATTCCTTTATTATTATTTTATTGTCCATGAGATTTGTTATAATGCCCCTATTTTCATTTCTGATATTAGCAATTGATATCCTCCTTTTTTGTCTTTTTCGTTAGCTTGGCTAGATACTTATCAATTTTACTGATTTTTTTTTTAAAAAAACACAGCTTTTAGTTTTGTTGATTTTTCTCTACTGATTTCCTAATTTTAATTGCATTGATTTCTGCTCTAATTATTAGTATTTCTTTTCTTCTGCTTACTTTGGATTTAATTTGTTCTTTTTCTAGTTTCCTAAGGTGGAAGTTTAGATGATTGATTTTAAATCTTTCTTCTTTTCTAATATATTCATTTAGTGCTATAAAATTTCCCCCAAGCATTGCTTTTGCTGCATTTCACATTTTTTTAATGTAATTAGCAGCTTTTGTCTAGCATGAAATGAAGTCTGAATCACTTTGTCATTTATGAACATAATATTTTTTCTTTAGGTTTCTATAATATATATGGGGCTCAAGATCCAGTATTAGTAAGCAATGAGTATTTTTCTTATTCTTTTTAATAATTTATTTGAGGTGAGTTTGTTTCAGTTATACCCACTATAAGTAATTCTAAAACATATTCCAAGCACACAATTTTTCACATCAGAATAAAATTGAATGACAGTTTAATGCTATTTTTCTATTAAGGTTACACATTTGGATATGACTATTCGTGAGCACAGGGGAGAAATGGAACAGAAAATAATTAAATTAGAAGGTACTCTTGAGAAATCAGAATTAGAACTTAAAGAATGCAACAAACAGGTAAATTATAAAAATTAAATATTTTAAATTGTTTTTAAAAATAACTACTTTACTCTAAGTATCCACTATTCATATAACATGGCTTTTTAACAGAATGTATGTATATAATAAAAATACTATATAATTTTATTAACCTTGCACATGCTACTTTATATTTCTTTTTCTCTTAATATTTCCCCACAACTTTATTGAGGTATAATTGACAAATAAGAATTGCATATATTTAGGGTATACAATGTGATATTTGATATACATATACATTCTGAAATAATTACCACAATCAAACTAATTAACATATCCTCACCTCACTTAGGTTTGTTTGTTTGCATGTTTTTTTATTTTGGTGACAACACTTAAGATCTATTCTCTTAGCAAATTTCAAGTATGCAATATATATTATTAACTGTAGTCAAAATGCTAATACATTAGATTTCCAGAACTTATTCATCCTACATAACTGAAACTTTGTACCCTATGACTAACATTACAACCTTTCCCTCACTGTGGCTATCCTCTTAATGTTATTTTGAATATAATTTTTTGGGGTGATTGTGTCCACATATCATAATGTGTGCATGTCTGAATATGTATAAAATATCTCTGGAAGGATTTGTAAGTAATTTGTTAACTGATTTGTGGCAAAGGAAGGAACACAGTGAGAAGGGGACTTTTCCACTAACTTTTTTATCTCATGCACATATTACTTATAAAACTATTTATAAGGCCATGTAATATTTGTTGTTTTAATGTACCCTAATTTTCTTATGCAAATATGATTGAGACCTTTATCTCTTTTAACATGTTTTGGGTATACATATAATTAGGTATACATATAAGCATCTTATTAGGCACAAGAATTCTGATGTTTATGTCTAAGTTACAGTTGTCTTAAAAACACATTTTTATATTTTTCTGTTTTGGATATATATTGACTTACTTGGGTTGCAGTTATGATTAAAGAAATATTTTTCCTCAGTTACATTAACATTGTTCTGTTCAAAATTCAGATAGAAAGCTTGAATGAAAAATTGCAAAATGCCAAAGAACAGCTCCGAGAAAAAGAATTCATAACATTACAAAATGAACAGGAGATCAGTCAACTGAAAAAAGAAACTGAACGAACACAACAAAAGATGAAAGAAATGGAAAGTGTAAGCAAATTGTTTTCCTCCTAAGGAACGTGCAGTATTTTCTGAAGAGCTATATAAATGTGTTTTAATCTGGCTGGTTTTAGTATATAGAAATTGTGTCATAAATATTTTAGGCTAATTATTTGGGCCCAATACCTATTAGTTTCTTTGTTAAATATTTTATTCTGATATTCTGATGAGTTGCCAGAATATCATCAGTTTGCATGTGTGTTGAGTAGTGAACCCATTTCACCTACTTGCTTTCTAAAAACTGAAATTGCTTCTAAGAGCTCATGTGAGTGTAACTTTCTCTTGTTTTTAAATACTGTACTCAACTTTAAAAACTTTATATATTGTTCTTTATTGTGTTTGACTAATTGATTATCTGTCTTCTCCAGTAGAATATAAACTCCTTAAGAGTGGCCACTTTGTCTCCTTTGTTCACCCTTGTATCAATACCTAGAACAGTACATATCACATAGTAAGCATGAATAAATATTTGTTGAATTACATACATGAATCAAGCAGGGTCTCTGAGAACAAGTTTCGGCCCCAGTGGGAGGAAAATGATTACTTGCCTAGTCAGTCTGTGTTTTCTAACAAGGATGGGGAAAACATGAGATTTATATTGACATACAACAGAGTTGGACCCTGGGCCCCAACTCCAGACATCAGGGTCCTAGTGATTTGTACAGGTTTCTTTTCTTCTTATCAGCCCTACGGTCAAGTGTCATTCCCTACCATCTAACTAAGGTAATTTAGAATTAACTTTTCACTGATTTTTTTCTCTCTCTAAGAAACAAGCTTTACTAGGGACTTAATGGAGTAATGTAAAGGTATTTCAGAAAGAGTAGCAGTCTCAGTGACACATTTACTTTCACAGGGAATAAGGTCATGGCCCTAGCCCAGCTGTGTGAATTAATGGTGGGTTTTGGCTATTCATACCAATATAGTCTCCATCGTTGGCATGGATGATCAAATATTAAATTCCTTTTTCTCTTTATGTTATTATGTGTTCTGTCATGTTATAATCATAATGATAAAGGATTATACAGCTTGCATATTAAAGTCAGGCAAAATATACCAGTGATTCCCAGATTTACCACAGTACTTTTGTCATTTTCTTGTCATTAAAAAAGAAAAAAAACCATTTTCTGCATATCAGTTTCACAGTGGATGATATTCATTGTATGTTAAATTTTATAGAGATTTAGTTGGCAGAGGTAAAGTCACTTATTAAAAGAGAAATCAAAATAAGAAATAGGTTATTTATATCATTTCATTTTGAACTTACAAATATCTTTTGTATTTCAGGTTATTAAAGAGCAGGAACAGTACATTGCAACCCAGTATAAGGAGACCATAGATTTGGAGCAGGAATTGAGGCTAACCCGGGAGCAGATGCAGAACTCTCACACGGAATTGGTAGAGGCTCGTCATCAACAAATCCAAACACAGAGAGAAATAGAAAGGCTCTCAAGGGAATTGGAAGAAATAAAGCAACTCTCTAAGGAGAAGGTAATCCCTATTTTAAATAGTTTTACCTTATTGAAAATCTTAAGTATTTTACCATTCACTTCTTTGAACTGTATAATACAGTTGTTACAAAAGTTAGTGTTGCACAATAATGTAAATGTATTTAATGCCACTAAAGTGTATACTTAAAAGTGGTTAAAGTGGTAAATTTTATGTTATGCTATTTAAAAAGAAAGAAAGTGTTACATTTAGCGTAGCTTTGTAATGTAGCTAGGAAGCTCCTCAGAACTGAGTTTTGGCCAATCTAATTAGTTTTTAATAAATTCAATTATAAAGCATTTTTAGCCTGGCCAGGCGCAGCTCAGCAGTTGAGCATCGACCTAGGATCCCGGAGATGACGGTTCAATTCCTGGTCAGGGCACATGCCCGAGTTGTGGGCTTGATCCCCAGCAGGGGACGTGCAGGAGGCAGCCGATCAATGACGGCTCTCTCATCGTTGATGTTTCAACTCTCTCCCTCTCCCTTCCTGTCTCTGAAATCAGTAAAGATATTTTTTAAAAATGAAAATAAAAATAAAGCACTTTTAGACTTTCAAGTGAGTTTAAGCTATCCCCTCCCTTTTTTTAAGATGTTTTTATTGATTTTCAGGGAGAAAGGAAGGGAGAGGGAGAGAGAAACATTGATCTGAGAGCAGAACATCAGTCAGCTGCCTCCTGTACACTCGGGTCATTTGCAAGTATGTTCCCTGACTGGGAATCAAACCAGCAGCCTTTCAGTGCAAAGAATGACTCCCAACCAACTGAGCCACACTGGCCAGGGCTAAACTGTCACTTTGAAGAAAAAATAAAGCTAATCTTTTTCGAGTGAAAGTTTTTACATTTGTAGTCACTTCTATAAGTGAAAACTGATGATTTAAATTTATAACTGTTGTGAAACCTGCAGTCCAGGACACTTGGGGAGGTATATAGTGCTTTTGAAAAACAAGAGGTTGCAGGCTCGATCCCCAGTAGGGGCCGTGCAAGAGGCAACTGATTGATGTTTCTCTCTCACATCGATGTTCCTCTAGCTCTCCCTCTCCTTCCCTCTCTCTCTCAAAATCAATAAAAATCTTTAAAAAAAACACAAGAGCACTAATATAAATTTTATTTGCACAATATTTGTAGGAGGTTAACAACTTGACTTAAAAATATTTATATTGGGCCCTGGCCCATGTGGATCAATTGGTTGAACGTCACTCCATGCACCAAAAGATCAACTGGTTGAATTCTCAGTCAGGGCACATGCCCAGCTTGTGGGCTCGATCCCCAGTAGGAGCCATGCAAGTGGCAGCCAGCCGATCGATGTTTCTCTCTCACATGCATGTTCTCTCTCTCTCTAAAAAATATCAATGAAAACATTAAAAAAATATTTAGATTGGTACACTTTAGTTAATTACTTAGACTTTGAGAAAAATATATTTATTGGTGTTCTAAAGAAGTTCTTGTGATTTTTTTTCTTTCTATTATGTTTACTAATTCAGTATAAGGATTAAGCTAACGTATTTTTATATTTAATTTTGGTTAACCTAATGATGTTTCTTAATTCACATTCTGGATGTTTAGACAAATAAAGAATGTTTAGGGAATTTTTATTAAAATAATAAGGCATTTTTGAGTCTGCCAGGAGAAGGAAGCTATCTACTTTTATCTCATTTCTGCCCTTATCAATGGTATCTAAGTGTAGTACAATTGATTTTATTTGATAAGCTCAATCAGAAGAGTAAGTGAATGTGCGGAATTATTAAAAATGACAATTTAAAATATTATATTTTAATCCCAAACTCTAAATATGCATTCATATGTTAATGTATTAATGTGGGACCAAATCTTGGTTCTTTGTGTATGGGTAGGGTTACTTGATTATAATTCTATCTAGTCTTTCTTGCATAAACCATCATCTGTAGTTTCCAATTTTGGTTTCTTTAAAGTGGAAGAAGAGACAGAGAAAGACAAATACCATATGATTTCACTTATGTGTGGAATCTAAAGAACAAAGTAAATGAACAAACAAAACAAAAACAGACTCACAGATACAGAGAACAAACTGATGGTTGCCAGATGGGAGAGAGGTTGAGGGGCTGGGTGAAAAAGGTGAAGGGATTAAGAAGTACAAATTGATAGTTACAAAACAGTCACAGGAATGTAAAGTACAGCATAGGGAATATAGTCAATAATATTGTAATAATTATATATGGTGCCAGGGAAGAGATTAACCGAAAAAGTTATATGCATATATGCATTGCCTGTGGACACAAACAATAGAGTGGTGAAGGCCTGGGGTGAGGTGGGAACTGGGTGGAGGGGGGCCAATGGGAGAAAAAGGGGACATCTATAATACTCTCAACAATAAAGATTAAAAAAAGGAATTATTGGAGGGATCACTTCATAGATTATATAAATGTCTAACCACTGTGCTGCACACCTGAAACTAATGTAAAATAAGATTGAATGTCAACTGTAATTGAACAATTAAAAAAAATAAAGTAGGCATAAAAAAAAACACCACACCAAAGTGGAAGAATTAAAAAATATTTGAAAATCAATCAGAGTATAACATCTCATATTTTTTATGGGGTTTCCCACAATATTTTACATATTGACTGCTTATGTATGGGTAGCAAAAGTTTGTGATTCCTTTACTGAGTGCTTTAAAGCATATAACTTAATTTTCATATGAAAGCTTTCCTTTTGCAGATATATTTCATCATTGTTCATAATGTATAATAAAATTATATTACCATCACAAGCACAACTAGCTTTGGATAAATACACAACTGACTCTTGATAAGCAAGTAGCACTCCTGGTGAACAAAATTACATGGGCATTCCTAAGAGTAGACTCTTATCTGCCAAAGTTCAGAGTACTGTGGTTATTAATTTGTTTTACAGAAAGCATTGATTAGTGAACTTTAATAACGAACAATATACTAATGTACTCCCATTAGTAGTCTCTTAAATGTCTAGGTTTTGAAGTCTAACATTTAATAAGTTAACTTAGTATATGAGTGTTTATAATGTTAAAAGATTGAAGTACTTCCATAAATGTACTAGATTGGCTTAGCTATAGTAACCAAATAAACACTTTATATAGCCTTTACTTAATATGTCATTTTTAAGGAAGCCCATGGAAACCATTTAGCTGAAGAATTGGGGGCCTCTCAAGTACGTGAAGCTCATTTAGAAGCAAGAATGCAAGCAGAAATCAAGAAATTATCAGTAGAACTAGAATCTCTCAAAGAAGCTTATCATCTAGAGGTAAAGAAAATTTTAATCTGTACCATTACTCCCTGCTGAAGTGGGTTGACCTATCTGGACAAAAGTATAAGTCTAGCTCTTAAATGTTCATAATAGAATAGCATACTGTGGTTTTTATTTCTGGTAGCCTAAATATATTACCTTTACTTCATATCCAGTGAGCTATGTACTGTAGGGTTAAGAGCTTGAATTCTTGAGCCAGGCAGCCTGGTTACAATTCTCAGCTTACCAATTAGCACTTATGTGACTTTGGGCAAATAATATATGTCTAAAATGGATATAAAAATAGTATCTATCTCATAGAGCTGTGTTGAGGATTAAATGACTTAATATAATTGAAGTTCTTACACCAGAGTATGGTTCATCATCACCATCATCATCATCGTCGTCATCATCAGTTCCAAGATAGCACTTGCCAAAACTAACTGGAGTATTTAAAATCCAATATAAGCACTTTCATGAGATGTGAATCTAAAACACTTTGTAATTTCCAATATTTGTTCTGATATTAAGTTTGATAGAAAGGCAATAAATACCAGAACCTGGTACTTTGCTTTTTATCTATTAATATGTCTGAACCTTTATAGAAATGGGCAGTATTATCAATTAGAACAACATTTCTTATCTTTTTAAAAAGTACATCTGAAGATGTTATCTAAATTTTATATATAAGATCTACATATGCCTGGCTGGTGTGGCTCAGCAGTTGAGCATCGACCTATGGTCCAGGAGATCCAGGTTCAGTTCCTGGTCAGGAACAACACTTTGCACATGCCTGGGTTTTGGGCTCGATCCCCAGCAGGAGGCAGCCGATCAATGACTCATCATTGATGTTTCTATCTCTCCCTCTTCCTCCCTCTCTCTGAAATCAATAAAAATATATATATTTTAAAAAGATCTAAAAATACTTAGGAAGTTCTAGTAAAACATTTTTCTAAATGGCAAGACATTTATATTAAACACCTTTCAAGGGATTTGGTAAATCTTTGCAAAAGATTGTTTGGGCTTGTGTTCACCATGTCTTAGATTCAGATCTCTGAAAACATTTTGTCTGCCAAACAAAACATATTTGCAGGCTACACCCAAGAGATTACAATCTGGTCTTTAGAGACAAATATGAATGCTATTGGATTTAACGTAATTATTTAATTGATGTTAGCTGCTCAACTTAGTGACCATCAGTAATAATTATTTCATCTCAAGTATTTGCTAGTGACTATTCATTATACTTTTATTATATGGTCTCTATTCCCCTTTTATTTATTTTTATTTTTTATTTTTATTTTCTTTTATTTTTGTTTAAAATATTACAGATGCCCCTTTCTCTCCTCAATGACCCGTTCCACCCCATCCCATCACCCTCCTCAGTCCCTCTCCCCACCATTGTCCGTGTCCTTGGGTTGTGCATATACGCATATAAATTCTTTGGTTACTCTCTCCCCCTCCACCCACCCTCCCTCCTCCATCCCTCTGACATTCGTTAGTCTGATCTATGCTTCCATGTCATTGAATCTATTCTGTTCATCAGTTTATTAAATTCTTTAGATTCCACGTATAAGCAAGATCATGTGATGTTTGTATATCTTTGCCTGGCTTATTTCACTTAGCATAATTTTCTCCCGGTCCATCCATACTGTCCCAAAGGGTACAAGATCCTTCATCTTTATAGCTGCATAGTGTTCCATGGTGCAAATGTCCCACAGCTTTTTTATCCACTCATCTACTGATGGGCAGTTGGGCTGTTTCCAGATCTTACCTCTCGTAAATTGCGCTGCTATGAACATAGGGGTGCATATATTCTTTCTGATTAGTGTTTCAGGATTTTTAGGATATATTCCCAGAAGTGGGATTGCTGGGTCAAAAGGCAGTTCCATTTTTAATTTTTTGAGGAACCTCCATATTGTTTTCCATAGTGGCTGCACCAGTCTGCATTCCCACCAGCAGTGTACTAGGGTTCCCCTTTCTCCGCACCCTCGCCAGCAGTCTTTCGTTGGTTTGTTGATGGAGCCATTCTGACAGGTGTGAAGTGATACCTCATTGTGGTTTTAATTTGCATCTCCCTGATGATTAGCATTTTCTCATGTGTCTCTTGGCCATCTGTATGTCCTCTCTGGAGGCCTTTTATTGTTAATTACCCATTTTTTACTTTTATTTTTGTAAACAACCTGAAATTATTTATAAGCAGATAGTACATAAAATGAATTATAAAAATTGGCTCTAGTATTACTGTGTAATATTTGGTACTAATTTTTTATATGTATGACATAATAATTTGTAATATAGGCATGTGTGCAGGAGTCACCTTGGGTGGTGTTGAGGCCTGTCAAGGGTGAAGGCACTTACTCAGTATAATACTTTGCTGGCCAGGCCCAGAATGCCCATCCTTGTAGGCCCCATTCAACGGAAGAATGAAATCACTACACAGGAATACATGTGAATGGAAGAGACCTCTCATTATGCAAACAGTACAGCACTCTGAATAGACACTAAAAATGGCTCTCATCAGCCTGGCTGGCATGGCTAGTGGTTGAGCATGGATCTATGAACCAGGAGGTCATGGTTCAGTTCTCGATCAGGGCACTTGACTGGCTTTTGGGCTGGATCCCCAAGCGGGGAGGGGCATGCAGGAGGCAGCCGATANTCATTATGCAAACAGTACAGCACTCTGAATAGACACTAAAAATGGCTCTCATCAGCCTGGCTGGCATGGCTAGTGGTTGAGCATGGATCTATGAACCAGGAGGTCATGGTTCAGTTCTCGATCAGGGCACTTGACTGGCTTTTGGGCTGGATCCCCAAGCGGGGAGGGGCATGCAGGAGGCAGCAGATAACTCTCTCATCATTGATGTTTCTGTCTCTCTCTCCCCCTCCCTTCCTCTCCCTTCCTCTCTCTGAAATCAATAAAAATACATTTTTAAAAAATTAAAGAACAGCCTTTAAAAAAAGAAATAGCTCTCATCTCAAAGAACCCAGCGCCTATATCACAGTATGAGAAATGAGATCTGGAAATAGTGTTCGATGAACAAAGTCTTCCAGCCATGATCACCTCCCATTTACAGACTCCCCAAGACTTTGAACACTTTTTCAGTGATCCTTAAAGAAGGACACCCTCTAGGGAAACACAGTCTTTATATACAGTGCATTGGATCTCTTGGAAAGACCAGAATTATCAGTAAAGAATACAGTATATTAAATGGTTCAAGGGCTACTGTGAAGCATTTTTCTAAAGTTTAACAGTAAAACTTAAAACCAGTTCCTGTCTCTGCAATGAGGTATTCCTTTAGTGTCATTGATAACACACAGAATCTACAAATTTATGCACGGCATATTCTGAAGTCCTTAAAGAAGAAGAAACCTAAAGATACCTTCTGTGTTATGGGAATAACAATGATTGATCTTTACTTGAGAAACTCCTGGAATTTTGTTTTTGGACAGGCCTCTTTGACAGATGGTGTAGGATATTTAACTTTGCCAGGTATGGCAGTTTTTTATAGCTCATGCTATGAAGGCAGTGTGTAGAGCTGCAGAAAACATCTTCACGTAATGATTCAACTTTTGATAACTATTACATTCCTGAAGTGACTTGTGTTTTGCTGCTTCAATCCTCTGTTTAACCCATGAAATTGGAGACATATTTGGACTTCAACACTGCCAGTGGCTTTCATGCCTAATGCAAGGCTTCGGCCACTTGGAAGAAGCTGACCAGCGCCTTCTAAACCTTGGCCCTGTTTACCAATTTGCAATGTGCTATTGGCTTCAACACTATAGAAAGTTACAAAGTGCTGGTGAGGTGGATTGGTGATGAATCTGCTAGACACTTGGAATCACTCTGAAACACAGTCATGAGGATACGTGAACTTACCAAAACCTTTAATGAAGCCTTTAAGAAATGGAAAGAGTGGATAATGAAATGCCATTGCTGTTCTTCAAAAATAAGGACTTTCAAATAGGAGTAAAGTAAATACTTGCTTGGGTAAAAAAATAAAAGTAATGTTTTTCTCCTATTTATTACTTGACAGTTTTTTTTAAAAAGTGTATATATGGTTTGAATATAAAAATGAGAGAATATGTCATTAAAGTAACGGAAAGTTAGAAAAAGATCAATAAATTTTAAAAATATTTTTTAAAATACAGGTTTCAGAATTGTCAGAAAAGTCACTTAATAATAATTGCAGGCTGCTCTCTCTCTAGAGGGCACTCATGCCTTTCTCTACTCCTTCCCCTAGGTGTGATTTCCTTGCCTTTCTTTCTCTTAAGCTCTCAGGGCCCTTCTTTTGCCTCTGTAACTTGTTTCTTGAAGCCCATTTCTTCTATGGCTCACTTCTACCTCTGTGACTTTCTAACAATAAACTCCCTCTTATTAAAAAATAATAATAATAATTGCTAAACTGATCTTTTTATGAAAATAAGATTTTTAAAAACTTTTTGTAGAAAATTTTAAACATGTTCAAAAGTAAAGATAATGGTATAAATCCTTTCATCTTAATTATTCTACTTCAGTATTTAACAACTCTTGGTTTGGCCAATTTGGTCTCATCTACAAGTATGGTGACCATCTCTTTTATCTAAAAGGGAATACTTTTGAGAATAAAAAGGGTTGCTGTTGCTAACTAACCAGGACATCAAGGCGTAAAACCCAGACAGTTGTAGGCAAACTGGGAAGTATGCTGGTCACTGTATCTTTAACCTCATTCACTTCCCTTCCCCCCTCCACATATCACATATTGTTTAGAAGCAAATTCCAGATATCATTGTTTCATCAGTAAACATTTCAATAACTGTCTCTAAAAAATAAGTTATTTTTTAAAATTATAACTACAGTATCATTATCACACCTAAAAACTGACAGTAATTCCTTAAGATCATCAACTATCTAGTCATTGTTTAGATTTCCCCAGTTGTCACAAAAATGTCCTTATAGTGATTTGTTCAAATTAGGATAAAAAAACAGTCTATTTTATTTGGTTAACTGTTCTTAAGTAAATTTAAAAGTATAGGTTCCTTCTTCCCTTTTTTTCTTCTAGTATATTATTTGTTGAGAAATCAGATGTTTGTATTTAAAAACAATTTATTTTTATTTAAGTTGGAAATGAAAAGTATTAGAATGTGTTGAAACCAACCCCATCCTATTTTCTTTCTTCTTTTCCGTTTCAATTTTGGACTCTATAGGTGATTTCACATCAAGAGAACCATGCAAAGTGGAAGATTTCTGCTGACTCTCAAAAGACTTCTGTTCAGCAACTAAATGAACAGTTAGAGAAGGCAAAATTAGAATTAGAAGAAGCTCAGGACACTGTAAGCAGTTTGCATCAACAAGTCCAAGACAGAAATGAAGTAATTGAAGCTACAAATGAAGCATTACTTATTAAAGTAAGTAGACATACACACTTTTAGTGTATAAAGTGTATGTCACTGTAGAACGTCCAAACCTGTAGAAAATTTTTGTAAGTTTATTTGAGCAAAACAGAGGACATTGTCTAGAAGCAAAACCTCAACATACTGAGAAAAATGCTTCCAAGAATGACAATTTGCAGTTTCTTTTATACATTTGGAATTAAGGAAGATTGCATGAATATGAGAGAGAGCAAGGCAGGGAAATCTCTATGATTGGATTGCAGGATACTAAACAGAATTTTGTGCTCACTTGAGGGTGGTTATGCCTCCCAGGGGTCTTAAAAAGAGGATTACTCTGGCATCAAGGGGGGTGTTAACAATGGACAGGGCTTAAGGCAAAGATAACTTTTTACCTGGGAAGTTATAGGCCTGAGGCACTACTCGCCATGACCTTGCACAGTTAGGAATTTATGATCAGATCACCCTGTGAGGTCACTTTCTGTTAGATTTATTACAGAGCTCTTTTTCATCCACATATCTGTGAAAAGGTAAAGTTATGACTTATTTTCCCATTCTTATAGTTTGTAGAAGATTATGTGACCAAATATTGACCTATTTGAATAGAAAGCATTTTATTTCGAAGACATTGAATTTGGGAATTATTAATATGATGTGTATCATATTACCCCAGGAGAAATAATTTATGAATGTTTAAACTTTTAAATTTAAAAAAATGTGGTGAGAACATTTAAATTTTACTCTCTTAGCAAATTTCAATTATACAATGTAGTGTTACCAACTAACTATAGTCACCATGTTATACATTAGATGCTAGACCTAATTTGTCTTATAGCTGAAAGGCTGTAGCCTTTTACTAACCTTTCCCTATTGCCCCGGCAACCAACCATTTTTCAATTCACTGTTTCTATGAATTTGACTTTTTTTTTTTAAAGAGTCCACATATCGGTGATTCCGTACAGCATTCTTACCTAGTTGTTTCCTTGTCTTGGCTATTGTGAATAATGCTGCAAGGAACATGGGAGTGCAGATATTTCCTTGATACCCTGTTTTTATTCCTTTTCTATATATACACAGAAGGGGTATTGCTGGATCATATAGTCGTTCCTTTAAGTTTTTTAAGAAACCTCCATGATGTTTTCCATAGTCACGGCACCAGTTTACTTCCCCACCAACAGTGTACAAAGGTTCTCTTTTCTCCACATTCTTGCCAACATGTATCTCTTGTATTTTTGATGATAGCCATTCTAACAAGTGTGAGGTGATATCCCATTGTGGTTTTGATTTGTATTTCCCTGATGATTGGTGATATTGAGAACCTTTTTATGTACCTGTTGGCCATTTTTTTGTCTTTGGAAAAATGTCTACTCAGTTCCTCTACCCATTTTTAAACGATTGTTTTTTTGCTGTTGAATTGTAGAAGTTCTTTATATATTTTGATTATTAATCCCTTGTCAGATATATGATTTGCAAATATTTTCTCCCATTCCATAATTTGCCTGAAATTTTCATTTTATTAATGGTTCTTGTTACTGTGCAGTAGCTTTTCTAATTTGATATAGTCCCACTTGTTTATTTTTGCTTTTATTGCCTTTGCTTTTGGTGTCAAATCCAAAAAAATCATTGCCAAGCCCAATATCAGAGAGCTAACCCTCTATGTTTTTTCCTAATGGTTTCAGGTTCTATATTCCAGTCTCAAGTCCATTTTGAGTTGATTTTTGTGTATAGTGTAAGATAGTGGTCGAGTTTCATTCTTTTGCAAGTGGCTGTCCAGTTTTCCCAAGACCATATATTGAAGAGACTATCCTTTCCCCATTGTGTATTCTTGGCTCCTTTGTCATAAATTGGCTATATATGCATAGGTTTATTTCTGGTCTAACTATTCTGTTCCATTACTCTATGTGTTTATTTCTGTGCCAATACTATACTGTAGATTACTGTAGCTTGAATTAATATAGTTTGAAATCAGGAAGTATGATGTCTCCAGCTTTTTTTTCTCTAGATTGCTTTGACTTTTGGGGGTCTATGTGTTTCCATACCAATTTTAGGACTGTTTGTTCTAGTTCTAGGATTTTTTGTTCTATTTCTGTGGAAGATGCCATTGGAATTTTGATAGAGGTTGAACTGAATCTGTAGATTGCTGTGGGTAGTATGAACATTTTCACAATGTTATTTCTTCCTATTCATGAGCACAGAATATTTTTACATTTATTTGTGTCTTCGATTACATTCATCAGTATCTTAAAGTTTTCAATGTACAGTTCTTTCACCTCCTTGGTTTAATTCATTCTTAGATATTTTATTCTTTTGGAAGTAACTGTAAATGGGATTGCTTTCATAATTTCTTTCTTTTTTTTTTTTTAAATATATCTTTATTTATTTCAGCGAGAGGAAAGGAGAGGCAGAGAGAGAGTTGAAACATCAATGATAAGAGAGAATCACTGACCGGCTGCCTCCTGCATGCCCCCGACTGGGGATCAAGCCCGAAACCTCGGCATGTGTCCTGACGGGGAATCAAACCCTGATCACCTGAATCCTAGGTCAACGCTCAACTACTAGCCACGCCCAGCCGGGCCATAATTTCTCTTTCTTATAGTTCATTATTAATGTATAGACCTGCAACTAACTTTTATATATTGATTTTGTATTCCTGCAACTTTACTGAATTTACTTACTAGTTCTAACAGTTTTTTTGGTGGATTCTTTAGGTTTTTCTATATATAATATCATGTCATCTGAAAATAGAGACAGTTTTACTTCTTCCTGTCCATTTGAATGTTTTTGTTTCTTTTTCTGGCCTAATTGTTCTGGCTAGGACTTTTAATACTATATTTAATAAAAGTGACCAGAGTGGATACTGAATTTTGTTGGATGCTTTTTCTGCATCTGGTGAAATGTTCACATGATTTTTGTCCTTTTGTTAATGTGGTGTATCACATTGATTGTTTTGCAGATATTGGACTAACTTTGCATCCCTAGAATTAATCCCACTTGATCATGGGGTTTGATTCTTTTAATGTATTGTTGAAATCAGTTGCTAATATTTTTAAAGTTTTTTTTCATCTATGTGTTCATCAGGGATATTGACCTGTAATTTTCCTTTCTTGTAGGGTCCTTGTCTGGTTTTGATATCTGTAATTTTGGCATTGTAAAATGAGTTTGAAAAGATTCCCTCCTCTTCTGCTTTGTAGAAAAGTGTGAGAAGGACTGGTATTCAATTATTCTTTAAATGCTTGGTAGAATTCACCAGTGAAGCCATCTAGTTGTGGACTTTTGTTTGTTGTGAGGTTTTGGATTACTGATTCAATCTTCTTTCCAGTAATTGATCTGTTTAGATTTTCTATTTCTTTATAATTTAGTCTTGGTAAGTTGTATGTTTCTAGGAATTTATCCATTTTTTATAGGTTGTCCAGTTTCATGGCATATAATTATTCATAGTAATCTCTTATGATCCTTTTGTATTTCTGTGGTATCAGTTGTAACATCTCCTTCATTTCTAATTTAATTTAATTTGAATCCTTTCTCTTTTTTTCTTGGTAAGTTCTAGCTAGAGGTTTGTCTATTTTTTTTTTATCCCAGATCTTTTATTTATCTGTTTTATTATCTTTTGAATCTCTGTTTCCACTCTGATCTTCGTTATAGTTTTCCTTCTATTAACTTTGTCCTTAGTGTGTTCTTCTTTTTCTAGTCCCTTAAAGAGTAAAATCAGATTGTTCATTTGAGCTATTTTTTGTTTCTTAATGTAGGTATTTATCACTATAAACTTTGCTCTCAGATCTGCTTTATCTACATCCCATAAGTTTTGGTATGTTGAATTTTCATTTGTGTCAAGATAATTTTTTAAAAAATATGTCTCTTGATTTCAGAGAGAGGAAGGGAGAGGGAGAGAGAGAAACATCAATGATGAGAGAGTCATTGATCGGCTGCCTCCTATATGCCCCCTCTGGGGATGAGCCCCCAACCCAGGCATGTGCCCCGACCAGGAATCGAACCAAGATCTCCTGGATCCTAGGTCGATGCTCAACTGCTGAGTCACACCCAGCTGGGCAAGAACTGTTTCTTTATTTGCTGTAGTGTTGTGGGTCTCATAGATGCAAGCCCTTTTGGCTTTCAGAGCTAGGTGTTTAGGGGGCCCATCCCTCTGGTGGGAGTCTTGAAAGTTGGAGCACTAGATTTGGAGTCCAAACCCTTAACCCCCCCAGGGAGAAGCTGGGAGTCAGGTGTTCCCTTCCATAGTATGGCTTTGATTTGGTATGTCATGGGAGGAGCCTCCTATGCTGCCATCTTAATCATAATGTTTTCTTTAGAGGGTTTTATAATTGATATCTTTAAAAAGTAGGAGCATTTTTCAAAATCAATAGTTTCTTTAAAAATCATAAATTAGAAAGTGCAAGATTGTATTAAAATTTTTTTTTACATGACTTGAATATGTATGTCATTTTTCAAATAGCCCATTGCTACTTATGTATCCCTGCTGATCATGACAGTTTATTCTGGAATTTGAAATTAATATTAGTATTAATGCATAGAGATAAAATTTTAACATTCAAAACTGCCAATATTTATAATTAACATGGTCAGTGAAGACCTTAAAAAAAAGAATAATCTTACTAATAGTTGTAAAAATAAATCATTTTATAGCAAAATGGAAGTTACTGAATAGCCAAAAATCTCAATCAAGTAATACCTTAGAAATATTTCTAGTTACTAAGCTGTGCATCTAAATCTCTTATGTGACATACCTAGATATTCAGGGAAGCTGAAAGACATAATCTAAAATTATGTTTTGGTTGAACACTCTGTGCTTTTATTGAAACATTAATATACCTAGTGTTCTGGGGATCTGCAACATTTATACAAAATTGTAAAATTTTATTGTGAAAATTTGACTGAAAATTTAAAAGATTCTGCATTGTATATCCCTTGTCATAGTAGTTATCTTCGCTCATTTGTTAGATATTACCAATGAGAGAAATACAATTGGATTGCACTATTATTCAGAAGTTTTTAAGTTCAATTACTTTAAAAATTACCAAAATATTGGGTAAATAGCAGCAATTCTAAAATGAACTATATAGAGAGAGATCTTAGAACATGTACCAGGATTACCATATATACCAGTCAGAAAATAGAATTCCTTTGTTTTCTGACATTAGATTTCAAAGTCAATGTCAACTGGCTCTAGATGTAGACTGAAGAGGAGTTTAGGAGGATAAGAGCAAAAGAAGTAAGAAAAGCTAATAGAAGAGCAAAAGCTGGCATAACATAACAATTAAAAGGAGCTATAAATAATGAAAAGCAATTCCATTAGTAGCAATATTAAATACAGAGAGCAGAAACAGAATTGAGAGAGAAGATAGAACAGTGTTGAAGCAGTTGATCTTCCTTTAGTACCCTAACAAGTGCCTAGTATTTGAGGGCAACTGGAGCCAGAGCAAAAATAAGACCATTTTCTGAGAGTCCTAAAGGCATCATTATTTTATGGCACGCTACAATAATGATTATAGCAGCAACCTTCTTTGAGTCTTAAGAAAAAGTTGAATGATGTTCAACAAATTCAGTATACTACATTTTATTATAAAAGTTAGGTGTTAAACTCTAAGTTAAATGGAATCCTACTTTCTGAGATACTATATTTCTCAATTATGGCTAACCAACAAAAGTTGTTGTTGTTTTTAAATTCCCCACATAACCCTTTATGTATAAACTCTGTAGCTACTTTATTATAATTATAAGAATGTGAATACAGGACTTACTATAAAAAAAAATGGCACACCAGCCACTTACAAAGTTTTTCTAGGTAAAGCAGTTTAAAGATCAAAGAACTAAAATATGCTTGTTAAACTTTCAGTTTGTAATGCACACTGTGGTTATAACAGTTATAAGCACAGTGTTTTCAGAAAAAAATAGAAAGTATCAGATTAAAAGTAGCTGATTTAGAAATTTATATTGTCCAAAATGAAGGGTTGAAACAGAGCTGGGAAAACCCTCATAACTTGTTATAAAAGGAATTTTTATACTGGAATAGAAGGTTGACTTAGATTGTTTCTAAGAGTCTGTAGTTTTTCTAAGTAATTCATTTAACAAAGTGTATTGAGCCCCTGTGTACCAATTTTTCTACAGGAATCAGAATTAACCAGATTACAAGCCAAAATTTCTGGACATGAAGGGGCAGAAGACAACAAGTTTGTATCAGCCTCCTTTACATCTCCAATGGAAAATATGCCTGGCATTCAAGATCCAAAATTTGCTCACAGAGCCTTTTTCAAGTGTAGAAAACTACGTCGCTCTATTAGTGCCAGTGACCTTAGTTTCAAAACTCATAGTGATGAAGATCTTTCTGAAGAATTACTACAGGACTTAAAAAAAATGCGATTAAAACAACCTTCAACATTAGAAGAATGCCAGAAGGATCTAACTTATACCCAGTCAGACTCATTTAAACCTCTTACACATGCCCTAGAAGATGACAGTTCTGAGAATAATGACTTCAGTACTCTTAGTGGGATGCTAAGATACATAAACAAAGAAGTGAGACTATTTAAAAAGTCTTCTATGCAGACAGGTGCTGGTTTAACTCAGGTATGTGTTTCATATATTAGTAGTTATAATAATTTGTCTCCATTGAATATCATTTTATTACTTGTATAAAATCCATATATTTAAATGAAGCATGCCATTAGAAGATGTACACAAATACGGAAAGTACAAAAAAATTCACTTTAAGTTTGGAATACTTTTACAACAGAAAAGTGGAGTTGAAAATTTAGCTTTGAAATGTAACTTTTTAAAAAATAGCCTATATTTTTTATTAAATATAATCTCTATATTTGATTAAAGGACTGATTCTATCTCATGTTAGGAGAGTATTTTTAACTTTAGAGTATCGGGAAATGTTCTTGGAGCTCCAAAATTAGATGTTTCTAGACTTCCTGGAAACCATTCTAGTAAAAATTAAGGTAACCTTTGTTTTGTTCATAAATTTCCACAGTGACTCAGAATATCTCATTCATGTGATTTATCTACTCCCATTATTCTTTGAACATATATTGAATAGGCAACTAACTGAATCCCTACTACACTCAACATTATTTATAAGCATTTAATCTATAGTTTGCATATGGAAATAAATAATCTCTTCCAGGAAATGCCTCATTTTCAAACACATCAAAATAGGTTTGGTAACTTAAAAAAATTTTTAAGTGTTTTTAGAATGTATTCAAGACAAACACTGTTGGAGTTTCTTTTCATCTCTCCATATCCTTCCTCACATTAAAAAAAGTTTAATTTACTATTTATAAGTAGAAAACTTTATAAATGTGATAATGTTGTGGGTAAAACAAAATGTACACATTATGAAATTGTGGTAGAATAAACAAGATGGTATAATAAAACAATCTTCTATAAGGCCTGATAAAATTTGTTTTCATTTAGCCTTTAAAATTACAATTGTGTTTACTGTATATCATTGATTCAGTCATTCACTTTGTTTAGAATTTATTGAGCAACTACTATATAATAATCAGACACTGAGATTATAGAACTAAACAAAAATGACTAAGAACCTCTCCAAACAGGGCATACATTTTAGTGGGGAGACCATCAATATACAAATAAATAGACATATGTTCTAATGCCAGGTGAAAATAAGTATTATGAAGAAAAGGTGGTAAGAGGATACAATGTGACTGGGGTACTGTTTTAGATAGAGTGGTCAGGACAGGCCTCACGAGAAGGTGACATTTGATCAGAGTCCTATAGGAAGTAAACTAACTCAGTATCTAGAGGAAGAGCGTTGGAGGAAAGGGAACAACAGGTATTAAAATGCTGAGGTGGTAGCATGCCTCATGTTCAAAAAACAGCTAGGATGTGTGTGTGGCTGGTTTGGTGTAAATAAGAGGGAGAGTAGTAAGGTGATAAGAGATAATTTTGTGGAGTGCCGTAGGGGTCTTGTAGTTCCTGTAAGAAGTTTGGATTTTATTTGAAGTGTGATGGGAAGTCATTGGAGGGTTCTGCTTAAGGACATGACATGATCTAATTTATATTTTTAAAGGATCACTCTGGCTGCTTTATGAAGAATGGATGATAAAGGGACAAAAGCAGAGACCATGTAGGAGGCTACTTGTAATCCAGGCAAGAGATGACTTTGGATAGGCAGGAGAATAGGTGTAGAACTGTTGAGAATGGTTCAATTTCTGGATATATTTTAGAGATAGAACCAACAGGATTTGATGTAGATTTTGAGTGAATAGAGGTCAGAGACTTCAAAGATTTTGGCCAGAGAATCTGACCATTTACTAGGAAATGAGCAGATTTGGAGGTATAGAGAGAATCAAGAGTTTGACTTTAGATATATTAAATTTGAGATTTCTATTAGATGTCCAAGTGGAGATGACAAGTGAGTGATTAGTTTGAGACTGAAGTTAAACTTTTTTGTGGTGTGTTTTTTTTTTTTTTTTTTGCATTGTGTGTTCACCACCCAAAGTCAAATCTCCTTTCATCACTATATATTTGATTCCCTTTACCCTTTACTACCTCCCCCCATTCTCCTTTTCCTCTGCTAACCACCATACTGTAGTCTCTGTCTATGAGTTTTTGTTTGTTTGTTTGGATTGCTTGTTCATTTGTTGCTTTCAATTTTATATCCCACATGAGTGAAATCATATGGTTCTTGACTTTTTCTGTGTGACTTACTTTGCTTAGTATGATATTCTTGAGATCCACCCATCTTGTTGCAAATGGCAGTATTTCATCTCTTTTATGGCTAAATAGTATTCTGATGTATATATGTACCACATCTTCTTTATCCAGTGCTGTTGAAGGACACCTTGGTTGTTTCCATGTCTTGGCCACCGTGAATAATGCTGCAATGAACATAGGGGTGCATATATCTTAATGAATGTTTTCAAATTTTTCTGGTAGATACCCAGAAAAGGGATTGCCAGGTCATATGGTAACTCTTAATTTTTTGAGGAACTGCCATACTGTTTTCCATAGTGGCTGCACCAATTTACATTCCCACCAGCAGTGAATAAGGATTTCTTTTTCTCCACAACATCTCCAACACTTGTTATTACTTGTCTTGTTGATAATAGTGATTCTAACAGGTGTGAGGTGGTATCTCATTGTAGTTTTGATTTGCATTTCCCTACTAGCTAGTGGAGTTGAGCATCTTTTCATATGTCTGTTGGCCATTTGTGAGTTTTCTCAGGAGAAATGTCTCTTCTGGTCCTCTGTCCACTTTTTTAATCGGATCGTTTGTTTTTTATTGTTGAGTTGTAGGAATTCTTTATATGTTTTTGATAACCCCTTATCAGAAGTGTTGTTTGCAAATATTTTCTCCCATTTGGTTGGTTACCTTTTTGTTTTGTTGATGGTTTCTTTTACTGTGCAGAAGCTTTTTAGTTTGATATAGTTCCATTCATTTATTTTTGCTTGTACTTCTCTTGTCTTTGAGATCAAATTCATAAAATCCTCTCTAAGACCAAATTCCGTAAGTTTAGTACCTATGTTTTCTTCTATGTAATTTATTGTTTCAGGTCTCATATTTAGGTCTTTGATCCATTTTGAGTTAATTTTTATGTATGGTATCAAATAGCAGTCTAGTTTTATTCATTTGCTTGTGGCTTTCCAATTTTCCCAGCACCATTTATTGAAGAAGCTTTCTTTTCTCCATTGTACATTTGCCCATATCCATGTGGATTTATTTCTGAGCTCTCAATTCTGTTCCATTGGTCTGTGTGTCTGTTTTCTGCCAGTATCATGTTGTTTTGTTTACTGTTGCTTTGTAATATAATGTGAAGTCAGGGAGAGTGAGTCCTCTGCTTTTGTCCTATTTTTCAGGATTGCTGTGGCTGTACAGGGACTTTTGTGGTTCCATACAAATCTGAGGATTTTTTGTTCTATTTCTTTTAAAAATTCCACTGGTATTTTGATGGAGTTGCATTAAATCAGTATATTGCTTTGGGTAATATGGACATTTTAACTGTGTTGATTCTTCCAATCCATGAATACAAAATATCTTTTTATTTCTTTGTATCTTCTTCAATTTCTTTTAATAATGTCTTGTAGTTTTCAGTATATAGGTCCTTCACATCCTTGTTAAGTTTATTCCCAGGTTTTTAATTCTTTTTGTTGCATAGGAACGCAGTGAATTTTTGTACATTTATTTTGTATCCTGCAACTTAACTGTATTTTTAAGTTTTATTTTATTGATTTTTAGAGAGGGAGAGGGAGAGAAAGAAAAACATCGGTGTGAGAGCAAAATATCAATTGGCTGCTTTGTATACGCCCCCTATCAGGGATTGAGCCCGCAATCCTGGCATGTGCCTTGCTTGGAAATCGAACCGCAGCCTTTCCATGCACAAGATGACACCAAACCAACTGAGCCACACTGTCCTGGGCGATAAACCAGCATTTTATATATTGGTGGGAATGATCCAGTAGACAGGGAAACTGATAATTCAAGACAGAGTGGAAGGAATCAAGTTCTTAAGATAGGCTGAATGAGTTAGGATCCAGTAGAGAAGCAGAATTGGCCTTGAATAAAAGAAGGCAGTTCTGCCATATATCCAGGCAGAATATATGGGTACAGAAACACATGGAGTGGAAGATTTGGTGGGAAGGGAGGAATTTCTTTATTGATTGCCTTTATTTTCTTAGTGAAATAAGAAGAAAGATTATCATCTGAGGCAGGGTGAGGTATTGGAGGTTTAAGAACAGGGACGATATATGAAATAGTTATCTTGGAGAGTGGGAAAATATAAATGGACTAGGGAGGTCTAGTAAGCTTGCTAGGCAGATAATTTTGTTGTGTGGAACAACCCTGCAAAATACAAGACATCTGACATCTTTTTCCCCCTGTCTATTATATGCCAGCAACAGGATGTCTCTTTCTCCCCATCATAGTGACAACCAAAAAGTACTCTTACAAATTTCCAGATTTTTCCTAGGGAAGAGTACTGTTCCCCTTAAAACCTCTACTCTGTGCCCTTAGAGTCATAGGTGTGCAAGAGTCTATTTTCGGTAAAATAGAACTTAATTTATATAGGATACATTTGATAAGTACAGTGACAGATTGTGATAGAAATAATATGTGGTTAACAAAAATAAAATTAATTTAAAAAAATAAATAATACGTGGCATTTACTATGTGCTGGGCACTGTTGTAAATGCTTTACATAAAATAACTCATTTAATCTTTATCAACAACCATACAATATGTACTAATATCCTTATAGTACCAAATAGTTCTTATTGTAGTGGGTACTATTGTCCCCATTATATAGACAAGGAAACTGAGTCTCTGTTCTTAACCACTGCTGATATGTTATATACGTAATTGTATTTATATTTTCTTCAGTACTGTCTAATTAAATAGTTTGGTCTTGCAACTGCTTAGTCAATTAAGAATTAAGAGGGTAGGATTTAAAAGTTACTACATAACTAAAAAAAAAAAAGTTACTACACAACTGATAGAATGATTTCTCATCATATAGGTCATTGTAATAGATAGATGCATTTGAATATATCACGTCATTTTTCCTATTCTATAATCACGGAAGCTGAGTGTCAAATTAATA